ACATAAATACTAATAATAGTGACATTTGCATGGTAATTTGGTTTATGGATTATGGATCTGTGGTAATTTAGACACATGGTAAAAGTTTACTGATAAAAGATTCTGGCTAATTTAAACATTGGGATGGTTACTGACAAGACAGAAGACCCTGGCTAATTTGGCTATTGGAAAAAAGGTTTCTGATAAAAGAACCTGGCTAATTTGAACATTCAAAAAAGGTTACTGATAGAAGAATCTGCCAAATTAGACCTAATTATAAAAATTACAAAAGACTCTGGGTTATCAGCCATAGTCATCATATAGAGGTTAAATATGAGGATGAGTGGGGCTATGAATTCGCAATCATAGTCCCTACCTTCTATTCGGAATATAATTAGAATCGATTTTGTTCATCGAAGATACTTGCAGTCAGAGGCGTCCGTACCCCCAATTTGCTTTTATATTAATATATTATACTTTTTAAAAATTTGCTAACTCTAAACAATTATTCTGAATTTCATATTATGTCATTTATTATATTTTGCATACAAAATAAACAAATATATAAATAATTAAAACAATACAAGACTTATCTAAAAATAATATTTTTTAATACAAAATCTATTTATTACAGTATAAAATATTTTCGATGGTTGATATAAACCAAATTTGCGTTTAAAGAATTGCAAATGAAAAAAAGGTTAATTAATTCATATATATGCCTCAATTGATAATGGTTTTTAAAAACCACATAAGGCTATATAATTCTTATCAACTTACATTGACAAAATGTCATGAAACTAATATAACTCTCTGTTACCATTTTAGACAATGTTTTATAGAATGGACTAATAAGAAAAAATTTATAGGCCTTACCAAATTAACAATTCTTGAAGAATAGAATATAAACGACCAATCCAAATCATAAAACTATATGGTAGTTAGAGTTTCCTCTTAGATGACATGATGGAAGCTAGATAAGTAATCGGGAAAATTATATATAAAATTTTTAAAAGATTATCTTCCATTTTTAATGGTATATAAACGACTACAGACCATTATTGCATATCTAAAATATGCAATCATATGCTCTCAGCAGCTGTAGTTATAATCTTAAATTACATACCCACACAAATAATAGATGCTGGTTAATTTACAGTCATAGCCATGACACTCATTATGGTAACCCATATCAAAATTTATTATGTTAGAATTGATGAAACAAAAACACTAAAAATCTTTAGAAGAAATTATGCAAATATATTGAAGCCTTGAGTTATTTACACGGCAAGGATGACATATCAGAAATGAAACATTTTGTAACTATAAAATAAGAACCAGAGTGATATCATGAAAGCAATTAAAATTTTATATATTATTGTCGCACCATCTCTAGTTGGTATATTATATCTTAAAATAATAGTATTAAAATATATTCGTATTAAAAATTTAACTCAAAACTGTTTTTCAAAGAAGAAATATAAACACGTAAAAAAAGAGATGAAAAGATATCGAATTTATTACATCCATTGTGGAATGAATAATATGATGTTTAATTATAATAATATTTTAAATAAATAAATGGCTTTAAATAGTTGAATGCAAATTGTTACTTATATTTATTATCAAAAGCATTGATTAGTAAAATTTTAAAAATATTAACTGTAATATATTATATAACTGTCAAATACGTCTGCAAAAGTGGCATTTTATTTAATATTTTATAAATAATTATATATAATAGAGGATTATAACCTATATGACTACATATTTATAAATAAATCTCTTATACTTATTTGGATTTGGCCTTGAAAATAATTTTAGAAAGAAACATGATAATTAATAGTGTTTGCAACGGTCCGGTCCGGTCTTTTTTCTCTAAAATGGGGCCGGACCGATAGACCGTTAAGTCTGAGACCGAACCATGGGACCGTCTAAAAAAAATTTTCTATAAAGCTACAAAAGTTTTATTCTGCATTTAAATTTATTAAAAATGAATAGTTAAACTCCCTATTAATATTTCAATTATATCATCAATTCATTTTTATTATATTATACACAAAGGCCTAGTCAAAAGAATATTAAAATACAAAATAACAGCCTTTTCAATGGTTGAGAATATCACTTTTAAAAATTTAATAGGATATTCTAACCCCTCACTAAAATTACTTTCTAGAAAAAGATTAAAAATAGAAATTATGAAATATTAACATAGTTCCTTTATCAATTTAACTGTACGTTCTAACATTACATCTAAATTTTCCTTAACAATGGACATTTGGTCCTCTCCAAATATAATACCCTTTATGGGCATAATAACAATTCATTATATTGATAATGAAAGGGTTTTATAATCACTATTTATTTCTATTTTTTTAATTAGTTATTTGAATTTGAACCAATTTAATATAAACCAATACAAGATACAAGAAATAGAAAATATTGTTTAAACCAATATCAATATAATATTTTGTTTATATTGGGTTTTTAATATTGGTTCCCAGCTAATAGTATATATGCTTAATTTACTTGTGTTAGATGTATTTGAAAATGATTGTAAACAGATTTTACAAATCTTATGACCAGTCTCTTTTTTATAATTGTATAATTCTTTAACATCTTTTAAAGAATTTGATGAATTTTTTTGATTTTCATCAATAATAGTCATTCTTTCACCCCTTGAAGAGTGTGGCATTTCAATATCAACTTCTATGATTTCAATATACATTTCTAAAAATAAAATATAATACTACCTACCCTACTAAATTAAAATACTTGAAGGCGATTGAATTTAATTGAATGAAACGAGAGAATATAAAAAGTAAACTATGAATATTGAATTTAATGAAACGGAAGAATATAAAAAGTAAACGATGAATTAGATATTATAAGTGTTAGGCATTAAATAATCATATTTTATATGTTCATGTACATACACATTAACTATAAAGCAATTTATAGTAAACTTTTATATTCTTAAATCGGTCTTCGTTCGGACCGGACCGGACCGTGGGACCGTCTTGTTGGACGGGACCGTCCCTAGGACCGAAAAGTCTGATAAGACCGGTCGGACCGGAATAATTAAATTTAAAAATCAATAATATAGTTGATTAGTGTTGTTATACTCGGCTAAAATTAAATTTATTAATTTTCAATTAATAAATGATTATAGTTATATAATAATTAAAATAATAAAGGTCAATTAAGATTCAACTGTTAATGCTAAATTAATATTTAGTGAATGATATTGATATATTTTTAACATAGAATTTGATCGCAAGCTAACATAGTGAAAATATAATTTATATGAATTAATCTAATCTAATAATTAAAATAGTACTCATTTAATAAAAATTAAGATAGTCTTATTAATTTTTAGATAATAAAATGAAATCTATATATTACTCAATAGAATTATAAAAGAAATAGTTCAGGGAGCAATTAAAAAAATTTATTTTTAGTTCAAGGGGATATTAAGTCATTAAAAAAAAATTTTTTGCTTGAGGGGGCTATTCAAATTTTTCAGGGGGCTCGAGCCCCTGCGCCTTCACCCCTAGCGACGTTACTGCTTGTGATATTTGCCCAAGATTCAAGTAAAAAGGGGATAGTCCATTAATGAGGCCCATCGATCCAGGAACTTTCCACGTGAGTGCGATTGGTGATAATGGTGAGTGCAGAATTGATGGTAACCAAGTTCTCGTTCAAGCGATAACCGGATCCTAGAGAACTGTACAATGTTTAACACCATTGAGACCACCCAAGGTTTGCGACTGTAAGTGGATGTTTTGGATTATAAAGGAAGTGGAGGAGAGATGTAGTGATTAGCAACTAACTACGGGGATTGACAGACTAGAATAATGAATCCGCATCATATGGTTTTGGCAACGTCTACATGAGCGGGAGGGGTAGGAGCAGTTTGCATCCTATTATTTTGAGGGGGTAGGAGGTAAGCTGCTTTATTGGGGGTAGGATAAATTTTTTTTTGGGGGGGGGGGGTTATCTATTAAATTTTGAGATGAAATAGGACAAAATTTTCTGCTGTAAAAATTTTACTTTATTATAGTATTATTATAATACAATTCATCGACCAAATCTATATATTGCAAACAATCATATACATTGTTTTCCAAATAAACTATCCTTTTTAATGTAATTTAAAAGGTTTAGATATTTTAGCAAGCTCATAATGTCATGATAACTAATTGTAAATAATGGAGGTTTTAATTAAATTTATTATCTAAAAAATAAATTATTTATAATCACAAAATATAGATAGTTGGTAGTAGATATAGATTAATTTAGGTTATCCTTTATAAATTCTTTGAAAAGAGTATCAATAAATAAATAGGTAAAAATAATGATAAAGAGTCACCGCCGCCGAAGGCGGCGATTTTTTAGGGGGGTAGGCAAAGGTTTTCGAAGGGGGTTTGCATCCAGTGAAAATCCTGTCATGTAGACGCTGGGTTTTGGAGATGAAGGAAAGTTCTAGCATGAGTGTTGGGGATTATGAAATGGGATGACAATGTTTATATTGTTGTGATTGTATTATTATGTTGTTGTTGGATTAATTGTGATTAATATTATTTGTGTAAATGATTTATTAGATTCCAATAAAAAAACCGCTTCTCAAAATTTAGAAGGAGAGCTAAAAATAAAAATAAGCGGGATATGGGGGTTGACTTGGTTCCTGTAACACCGCCCACGTAACTACACCCCTGATTTTACATTTATAATTAGTTATGATTTTGTTTTTAATATTTATTAAAATTGAAAAAAAAAAGTTATAATATTCTTTATATGTTATATTATTATTATTATTAAAATAGATTTATGTTAGTATATTCTTAAAATTAGATATCCTTTTTTATATAATAATTAATAGATCACTTTTATAAAATAGCTTTTTACTGTTATTTTCAAAACTTTCTATAAAATATATCTCATGCATTCATTATATAAACATCTGTGCTTAAAATTTAAAAAATTTTTTTTCATTGGATAAATTTTGATTGATATGATATGATGATATATATATAAGGTAAGATTAAAATAATTTTAAGCATTTTATTGCCGTTTATTTGCTATTAAATTATTCAAAAATGATATATTTTTATATTTTTGTAGATATATTTTTATTTCTTATAGTAATTTATTTATTTTTTATTATTAGATGATTTGCAGAATAATTTTATTCTAATAATATGACATATGATATATTGCTATTTTAATTTAATAATAACATCTCTTGTTTACTTAAATTTATAATAAGAGAGATCATTTTAAAAAAAATTTATCAATCAAAATATAATTTTTTTGGATCAGACTCAAAGGATGGACCAGGAAAATAGGAAGGCTATAGATCAACACTATGCTTTTAACAAAATTAAAAAAACAAAAAAATCTCATCAAAAATTGATTGTGCTCATAATGCAAAAATCTTCCCCCACTCCTTTCCTCTATCCATAATTTGAGGCTTATTCAGGCACACTAATCTGTAAAATTTAACTTGAACATCCTACTGGTGTGTCTGTTACACCTCTGAAAAGGCTATTATAATAGCTCTCAATTTAATGAAATCATCAGAAAATAAAACCTCATTTGTAGATAATAATAGTCATAAAATATAACTTATGTATAACTGGAGTTATAGTAGTCTTTAAAACTTATTTTTGGCCTTCCAATTGCATGTGTAGTTGTACTAGATTCACTAAGATACTCCATAATGAGGGGGAGGGGGTATGTGATCATTATAGATTAGTACATTTAATTTTTTTCATGTCAAAATTTTTAGAGTCAGGACCAAAAATTTTATTTGAAAGTATAAATTAATTTTAAGTTAGGTAAAATAAAAATTACAATTGCTTTGTCAATCCCAGAGAAATTATTAATTTTTAAAAAATTTTACCAGCTGAATTTTTAAATATTTTTGTGTCTGAGTATGCAGGCAAACTTGCACAGCAGGGCTCTAGGCTTGGCTCTTTGGATAAATATTTGCCTGGGATTTTTGTTTTAGAAATGTCAAGTAAGAAATTATATGAAATATTAATTGATATAATATCCCATAGACATTGCCAGGAATTTCCTAGAGGGGGTGGGCTATATGGATCCCCATATATTAGTGGAGAACCTTTAGGCACATTTTTGCTTGCCTTTGGTGGGATTATATTAAAATATTAATTTTTTTAAATGCTTGTTTTCTGAAAATTTTTAATTATATATCTATTTTTTAAAAACATTGGTGCTTGTTATTCTGATTTACTTTTTTTTAGGGAGAGGTGAGATAAATAATTATAAGGGTATATATTTGCAAAATAATAACTAATTTTTATCGAAATACACAATTTTAAGGAATTAGGAAAAGCGAGAAAAAAAAATCTTCATTCTCAAAAAATACCTCCAAATGTCACAATATTTTTTAAAATCTATAAGCTTGGACAAAAAGTTTGAAACCAGGCCCGGAGAATTGCTCTTATGCTACTGGATTTTGAAGAAAATTTTGACCACAATTAATATTAAAAAATTATTTGCCCTTGCTTGACAATAAAAAAAGCGCAGAAAGCATCTTCCATGCCCCCTGATCTCTGTTTAGCTTAATTTGGCTTCAGATTCCTTTATAAAATAATTATAAAGGTTACCAGTTTGTTGATACCAAACCTTCTTTAATAAAATCCTGTTCTATAAATTAATATTTATATTATAGTAGAATTTGTCCAATTCCAATATAAATATTATCGCATGACATTTCTGTAAATATTTGAAAATAATCAAAGTAAAATTATTTAAACTATATGTGGACTTAAAATATCATGGTTATGATAAAATAAGCAACACATCTTTCTACAGTTTTGTTATATTGTAACTGTTATTATATTATACTATTGTTTGTTATGTTAGTACTTTTTAAAAAAAAATTAAATAAAAATATAAATTATATTACCACTTAGGTAGTTGTTGCTAAAATTTATCTTAAAATTTGTAAATGCAATTGAAATATTTTTATTATCTTAATATATCCTTGAGATTCCTATAAAGGAAACACAGCTTTCATTCAAACGTTTTAAAAAAATATTAAGAAAAGTAAAAACTGCAGCAATAAATTTTAAAGAATTTTGATATGAGTGATTTATTTTATAGCATTTTTTTAAAAAAATTATTGGATAAATTTTGAATGAATATGAATAAAAAAAATGATGAGATGAGAACAATAAAATATTACAAGCTTTCAAGTTCCAAATATCAAAAATTTTAATTATCTATTAAATTCTCGCAAAATTAATCATTTATTTGTCCCATTTCAATAAATCGTGCCTTTCGCTCTCAATTTTATTTACTCACTTTGCTTGGGTTTTTTTAATATTTTATTTATCTCGCATCAGTTTCCGATTTATTTATTATCGCGCCTTTACATATTTTGATTTATTCTCGCTATATTATGAAAGATTTACTCATTAATTGACGCAAAATTAAATATGTCTCCATCGCATATTAATAATTCATGTTTTCCATTCTCAATTTTTATGCTTTCATATCGCCTCATATATTTTTCAGTTTTGCATCGGTCATTCTTAAAAAAAATAAAATAATACATATACATATATCATATGCCCATTCAACAGAGTTACCCATTGTGCAATAAAATTGTTCAAATAACCAAAGCCGGCCTCCTGCCATCCCACAATATTAGAAAAATTAAATGACACCAATAGAGAATGTATGTATCTATCCCACCTACACCCATTTCATACATAGCGCTCACAGCCCCGCATGATCCCTCTACTACTTTACAGTCTTCATGCGCACCATTAAAACTCGTTTAATTCTTCATGATTGTATCTGTCAGTGACGGGTATCAATATTATTTTCTTATGTTTGTAAGCCTTTATATTATTATTTAGCTGTTTTTATGTTAAACACGTGTTTTATTTATAATATTTTATTTGTCCTTTTTTTATATTTTTGATTATTGATTTTTACCTCAAATGAATATTTTTTTTTTGCAATTTAGAATGAAAGGTTATTGTTTTAAAATTTATTTTCAAACTTTATTTATGCCCTATTTGGATATTCATTGTTTTATATATACAACAATGATAACAAACCTAGTAAACTCTGACTCCAATGCTTTAGTCATTTTTCATTGCCCCCAAACCTCACGCCATATCTCGCATACCCAAAGGTGCAAGGCTTCAAATAGAAAGATCTTATTCAAAGAATCCAACATCTTTGCTAAATAATTTCTCGTCAGTCAGTTACTGGCTTTAATTTTTATAGTACTCTTTCCGCACCTTACAAACACCTGACCTCTTAGTTAAAAATCTCAACAAGTTAAAGATGCATTTGAAAATCCTCTTTCTTTAGATCGATGGCCCACGTCCTTAAAAAATGACAAAAATTGCTTCAAAAAGGAAAGTCATAACGCCCTTAAAACGAGAGTAAGTCTTTTATTTAACAAACAAGTTAACTTAAATATTCGATCTGCCATACGACTTGCCAGATCCAAAGATAATCTGGCTCCTTGCGATAATGATACATACTTGGCCCTTCTTCAAAAATACCACAAGGAAAATTCAAATTTCAAATTTAGGTTAATTAAAATTAATTATTTTTTGAAACCGTTTTGAACCGGTTTAAAATATTTATAACAGTTCGGTTCGCTCTTTTTATATTTTCTTTATAACGGTTCGGTTAGGTTCAGAAAATTATAACAGTTCATTCCGGTTTGGCGGTTCGGTTCGAAACCATGCTACCTTTTAATAAAGGAATTCTTTAGTATTCATGGCATTGTATTCCCCCTTCTTCCTTTGCGGGTGCGAAGCAGCCCTTCACATGGCTTGAATATATCTAGATACCAATCCCTCTAATGACATCCTTGTCAAAATCGATTTCACCTAAAATGATAAGAGACATCAACACCCAATGCAAGCAATTTTACCTGGTATATTGATGATATACTAGCTGGCTCACCCGACCAAGTTAATATGGTAATTGGCATATTAAAATCCTATGAAAATATGGGCATAACAATAAATCCTTTAAGAGTGAATACTATCCCCTAAACAATAATTTTCAAAATTATTTCGGGTTTAATCGTACTGAGAAAGAGTACGTTACTTATCTAAGGTCACCCTTAGGTAATGTAGACTCCTTCACTAAATTTTTTGCAGATACCTCAAATAAACTTAAACAAATGCATGGTATTTTACTGTATCTCCCGGCTTACCAGTTATTTTTCCTGCTAAAGAACTACCTTGTAATTTCAAAGATACTTTGCACCCTACTATCAATTACTATTTTTCAATATCCTCATTCTTTCTACCTACATACCTACGAACAAGAGATCAAAATATTGACCGAATAAATAATCAATCTTAAGCTTGGACAATTATCTTGGCTACAGGCTACCTTACCCACCAAAGCAATACGATCACCTTCTCTACTCTCCGTTAATGCCTTCATATTTTTGCGTTTATCATGTGATCTAATCATCACCAAATTAACGACTCACTCAGATCCTTTACTCCTTCAGGCCATAGATCTTTGGAAGTCCTCTGCCCTAGTCGATCCTAAACTTTGTAATGTAGATGATAAACGTCTCGATGGTTTATCCAAAATCATGGAAGAATGGCAAATTTTTAAATTAGGATTTTTAGACCCACTCGCATTCTCCAACTTAAGCAATGACGCTATTGTTGACAACAAAGTAAATCTGCAAATATTCTCCTGTTTTACTTCTCAACCATTTATTCTACCAATAATTGATACAACGCTAACTTCTTTAGGCACTTACGCCCTAGTCTTCTTCAAGGATCAAGGGCATCACATTACATAGAATACCTAAAATTTAAATGAAGACTTTTACCTGAGACAAAGAATAGCAGTATTCTCCGATGATGGGTAAAAATTAATTATTCATTTACTTAATTATACTGTGTTATGATATATTTTACTACTGTGTATCATTTCATATATTTGGAATTTAATAAAGATAATTAATCCAGGCGCGTACGCAGGAATTTGGTCTGGGGGGGGGGATAATAAATTTTTTTGGAAATATTATTGTTTTTTAAAAATATCAAGCATAAATTTATTAGGACTAATAACTATTCCTAATACACAATTTTAAATTAATGTGAAATTTAAAAAAATTATATGTAAAGAATCACTTAAATGACCCAAAATAGAAATTTGAATTTTTTGAGCCTTTACACAAAAAGTTTCTTAGGAATAATTGTATTTTGTATGTTATATATTTACAATGTAAAATCCAATCTTCGTTGGAATTGAGCTAATTTTTCAATTATCTCATCCTTGCTTGTCGTCAAATGCCTATGAATATTAAAAAAATCCAAACCTTTCAATCTACTTTCACATGTTGTACTTCTTGGTATGTTTTTCAGAGAGCTGTAGGCCCGGCCCCTGGGCCGGACAGTATTTTAATTTTTTTAATTATACCCGGGCCGAGCCCTAAATTTTTTTAAAAATACACCCCGGCCGGACCTGAATTTTTTAAAAAAAAACACTCAAGCCGGGCTGTATTTTTTAAAACAGCCTATATTTGAAATCGTTATTATTAGCTATAAAAATCAAAAATAAATATAATTTATTTTTAAAAAATCCGGGCCGGGCCTGAAAATTTTATTTTAAAAAAAGCCAGGCTGAGCCTGTAAATTTTAAAAAAAAGCCGAGCGGCCTAAAAATTTTTTTAAAAAAAGCGTAAAAAATCTTTAAAAAAATCCGGGTCGTGCCCTGCAAATGGTACTTCTGCAGGCCTCTGTTATTCTTCTTTAAAAAGAGTTCTCTCATTAGTTTACTAATGGGAAGAGTTTATAAACCCTTTTAATACATTGGGAATTTAATCTAAAATGTGTTTGAAATAATGCAGAGCATCCATAGCATTTTTGGGGACTATATCAACTATAGTTAATCTTATAAACATAGTTATTCCTAATAAGGCATCATAAGATACTTTAACATCTTCATAATAAAAATCTAACAAATATTTTTTTTTCTATCACCATCTGAAAAAGGTTGGGAAGTCTTTTGTGGAAGTAATATTTGCAGATGTAAGTGCTGCATGATATATTAAAAATTCATTTATTTGGGTTATAAATGTATCTGCATCTAAGATATACTCTTCTACTGATCCTATATTAATGTTTTAACGATGAGCTTGCCTTGCTACAAGTCGAAGGAGACAAATATTAAACACGTATAGCTCTGCTTTTGACTCAACAAAAATATAAAATGTGAAATTCTTCATCAACATTATCCCTAATTTCCTTGAGTTCTGATAAAATGCTCTCCGCTATTCTCATCTTCTTAATCAAATTAATGTCATGTTTTTGAAAAGTAATACTTAAAATAGTTGTATAATTAAATAATACATTCTAATGAGAAATAAAATTTGGAATAAGCATTGAATCCAATAATTTTCTTGCTTCTGAGGAAATATTTCTTTCAGGCCATTGTAATATTTCAATAATAGCAAATAATTGGCTCTTCTAACTCCTTAATAGCTGTTAGTGCTTGATGGAAGAGGCTCTATCTCGTTGGACAAGGTTGCAATTTCTTTTTCCCGACCAGAAGTTTCAGAAATAATTATTATTTGACTAGAAATTTGAAAATGGTAGATAAATATTACGCCACTAAAAATTTGAAAATAATAAGTAAATATTACGCCGGAAAACTTGAAATCGAAATTAATTGATAAAATAACTTATGAATGTGATAATAAATGTAATAAAATATATATTTAATATGAGATACGAATAAATATTAACAAATATAAATTAATATAAACAATAATATTTTTGAAAAATATATCCGGCATCTGCATTTTTTGGCTTTGGGGGTGGGGGGATTTGTCCCCCCGCCCCCCCCCCGCTGCGTACGCCAATGAATTAATCATATATATATATGTACGTCTAAAATATTTTGTACTTATTTCAGCATACCAAATTAAAAAATTGGCTTATGTTAATTTTTTTTTCTCAAGATTCGACACAAATTTTTATTGCTACCCAGTGGTCGTCATCATTTATCCATTATCTTAAACTTTATTGAAACTTATTGTTCTTTATCTACCGCCGCTTTATTAATTCCTCGATTCTTTCAATTCATCAAATATAGGATATGTTATTCGAGACAATTGTTTCATTAAAATTACAAGGAGTTAACACGGGGGAGAGGTTGGGAGTAATTTTATAGTTAAATATTAAATTATTTATCAGAATGGGGGATAGGAGTCTCAGAGTTCTGAATAGGCATATTATCTAACGAACCCCCCCCCCCTCCACAATTTAAATCCATTTATTTTGTCTACATTCTTAAATATGCATTTTCATCTCTCCTCTCTCTCTTCTGTCATAGATTCGAATTATTGTTTGCACTTTATACTTAAATTGAGATCTGTTTTTTCACGTCAAATTAAAAACTTTTATTTTTTCCATTACAGATCTTGCAACACTACAATTTATAAATACATTATTTAAAAAAATGTCAAATTAATTATTTTTTCAAGGATATTATTAAAAATTATTTTGATTTATTTGGGGAAATGGGTTAAATGACAAATATATTTCAAATCTTATGACACTTTTGATTCAATATTGTAATTCTATTGCGAAAGTTATAAAGTTGTTTTAATTTTTTTAAAATATAATACTTGCTGAAGAGCTAATTAAATTTTTTTAAACTTCAATTTTTTCCTCATGGATTTGATTGCTGTAGTATTTTTATTGTAGGGTTTAAATTAAGATTTTAGCCAAAATATATATTACGTAAGTCACGAGATTTAGTTAATAGATGTCCAAATCTTTCGGCCATTTATGAGCAAAATCTCCAGGCTTGCGCTATATTTTTTATTGGGTTAGCCATTTTTAAAAATCGAGATGTTTAACAATATTAGCTATATCATCTTCTTTTCCATTTTATCATGAAGAAGAAAAAAACCAACTATAAAATTGTTAATCGATTGAACGATGACCAGCCCTCTACATTGAAATCGAATAAATTTCAAAATTTTTAACATTAATAATTTCTTCTAAATCTTTTCTTTTCCCCCTAATTTTAGGTTGTCAAGTTTTTTATTATTAATCTTAAGAATTTTTATAATTAACAACCCATCGAACCCAGGGTTGGATCCGGGGCGGGTCCGACCTCTTTTAATTCCTGTTATCAAACTAAATATAGTTTAAAATTCTTTAACCCGAATTTGGTCCAGAACATATTCATATTAAATAATAATACAGATATTTTCAAAAAATATGCCCTCCCTCCTTCCTCGATGACACTTTAATTAAAAATTTCTGGTTATGTCATCATTCTCGACATTCCTTAAGCGCATCCCCCTTTCATGTTGTTAAAAACAACAAAGCTAAGCATGATTTTTTGGGCAGGCTGCAGTTACCTCTGCGAACATATTGATTAGCTCTATGATTAAACGCTTATGGGCGTTAAAAAGAAAGAAGATGGGTTTGAAACAGTTAAATTTAATTGGGTATTTAAATATTATATTAAGGGTAACGCAAAATTAGATTTTAAATGTTTTGCTTATTTTACTGTATAATAATAAATATGTACAATTTTTTTCTTCTTTATTTTGATAAGGTTATTACATTACAACTATACCACTACAAAGCTAATAAAATTATTTAAATTTTTTATGTTTTTAAAAATCGATATTGTTTTATTATATCATTAGAATAAATTAATTATTAGGTTACTATTATAATTATCTTTTGAATAAATAAACGTTTCCTAATTCTGATAATTTTCAAAAAAAAAAATTATTTTTTAAATCAAGGACTTATAAAGAACTGTAACATCTGTATAATCACTATAATTTCTTTAACCTCAAGCAGAACTAATTCATGCTAGGAACGAACCGGAGCGTTATAACAAAACAAAAAATTTAATTTCGAATTGTGACCTTCTCGAATCCGAAATCATTTTTAATATTCTACATATTTGGAAATCTCTGTTATTTCCTTAAAGCCAGAGATCAAGAAGGAAAGAGAAAGAAAAAAGAAAGAAGAGAGAACCCATAAAAATAAAATTGTTTACTACCGCCAATTTCTAAATTCAGAACAATTTGCGCCTTCATCTGTAAATGTTGTGAATTTAAATTTCCAACCTCTTTTATAGTTTTAAAAAAATTTAATCAACATTTCCTATAACATATTTAATCATGAATTTTTTTTATTTGAGTCCAATGATGTATTTCTTTATTTATTATAAATTATATTTAAAAAAGTGTTAGTATTAAAAATAAGATTGAATGAACTTTAAAAAAACGATTTTTTTTATTGGTCGAGGTCTGGGAAATTTACAATTTTGACATTCAGAGGACTGTAAAGTTTTCATTTATCAAATTAAATTTTTTGGATTCAATTTTCTTCCCCTAATCTATCGCTCCATTCCATTCAATAAAATATCGATTTAACAGAATAAGGTAGATACTAGTGTTGTTAAACGGTTCAACTCAATATTTTAGCCAGAATAATATTGCGTTAGCCTCGAGATTTCGCTAATAGATGTCCAAACCTTTGTGCTATATATGAGAAAGATCTTCAGGCTTACGTAAATACTTTTCTGGATAAAATATTGAGTTAGCCGTTTTAAATCGGCTCAAAACGAGCCCTTTAACAACATTATTAGATACTAACAAATATATTATATATATTTTATTAAAATTTCTATAATTTCTTTAATTTATTTTACGGTATTGTCAAATAACTCTTACCACAGAATGCGGATTACTTCGAATTTGCTTTTCAATTGAATTTTTTTAAAAATAACAATGAATTAATAAAGTAATTTGAAAACCAGGAAATTGGATTTAAGAGAAGAAAAAAATTAATTATTGTTTGCAGTATGCTATATCCTACCCTACCTTTTAACATTAAATCAATCGATATAAGATATAAATATACTTATTTAACCAAATCATCTTCATAGCATACCTACGTTTTTATAGCAAAGTCACTAATTTTTTCCTGAAGATATAGGGATCGGTGACAAAAGACTGACACTGAACCAACCTTAGGAATCTTTTTATTTATTTCCTCTTACTCTATTATCGATTATGAATTAATCTCTGTTTTGATTTTTTAAAAAAATTTTAATTTAACTAGCTACATATTTTTGCCAGATATTAAATATAAAAAAAAATAGTATGTCATGTGATATATTTATGTTTGTGATATAATTATGTTTATGATTTTTTACTATTATAATATAGAGGCGATAATATATTTTTTTTATTTTAGCGATTCGTATATTAACTCTACCTCCGTAATTTTCTAACTTTTCCATCATCCCTCTAACCCTTATATAACTTCTCGTGTTGGTTGATTTCAGAAAAAAAGGATACTAAGAATATGAGTCCCTCTGGTAATCACCCCCCCCCCCCCTTCTAATCATGTGATATTTCAGACTTGTTGCATTAACTTAGCCCCTTGTTAATAATATATTAGAAATGGGTATTATATTATTGCATTTTACTAAAATTTGGGCAGTATTGTTGTAATTGAAGTTTTGTTTATTATATATTGAAGATTTGTCAACATTTTTTCGACTAGATGAATCTAAAATAATTATCTTTGTTCTAAATTATGTGTGGTGTGCGCTTGGAATTTTTAGTGGAAGTGTTAATTTAATAAATTGTATATATATTATAACCCGTTAAACAGCTCGATTTCGCGGATTTATAAATTTAGATTTTAGCCAAAATAATATTATGTAAACCTCGAGCAAACTTTTCTTACCATATATGAGTAAAAAATCTCCAAACTTGAGTAAGTAAATTTTTGTTGCCAAAAACTTGGATTAGCCCTTTTTAAAAAATCTATTCATTACAAAACACTAAATTTGGGCTTTGGTAAATTTACGTCATATATCATTTTAATAATTACTGGTTTGTAATATTTATTGATATGGTCGAGAAAAAAAGGAGTTTTATTTGAAATGATTAACCTTGCCAACTATCTCATTCATAGGATTTTTTAATCTTTTTTGTTTAAGTTATCCATTTTTATTATAATATATTATATTAACCCAAATTTGTAGTGTTTTGAACGGCTTGATTTGTTTGATTTTTTTAAAAAAGTCAAACTCGATATTTTTGTCAAAAAATATATTGCGCAAACTCAAAGATTTTTCTCATATATAACAGAGAGGGAAATTTTATTGAAATCTCGGGGATTAGGTAATATTTTTTTGATTTTTCTAAATAATCGGATAAATCGAACTGTTTAACTTTGGACATATTTTTTTTCCTGTCTGATATAAAATACAATACATTACTTTGAACTATATAGTAATAAATAACAACTAACTCGTTGGAAAATAGATACCTAAACGGATTATATGTTCTTCGTTTTGATTTTTTACTTTTATCTCTTGATTTAAGGACCACTAAATGGGCCATATTCCTAGGGAAAATTAATCATTTTCCCGGAAAAATTCACCCTTAGATGATTTATAGTAGAGATCTGCAAAAGTGGGCCCGGCCGAACCCTGGCTTATTAAAAAAAAATGATCAAAGCTGGGTTGGAGTTGGACTTAATTATATTTTTTAAAAAGTTCTGGCCTGGTCGGGCTTAAATTTTGAAATGAAATTGATATATTTTAAAATTTTTGCAAAGAAATAAGGCGCCAATCACGATTTTGTTCATAAAAGTGTAAAACTATATTGAAGAAAAAAATAAATTGATTTTTATATTTTAAATAAATTTGGCCGGGCGTACAAGGATTTTTATTTCGGGTCGGGCTTTTCGGGACAAATAAAATAAATCGTTCGGGATGAGTTTGAAAAATTGGCCCGACCTAGAGCACCAATTTATAGTCTATCTTATTATTGGGGGGGGGGGGGTAGGTTAACTCTTTAGACCCTTCTCACATTTACTAAGATTAATTTTGATAAATGTGTAATTTTTTTAACTCTTCCTAATAATCTCAAATTTTTTTTAAAAAAAATGTCCTCCCTCCGGCCTGTTAAAAATATTTGTTGGTTAGAAAATTGATTATTACCTACATATTTATAAATTAATTACAGAAAATTGATTGTTAATTACTACTAGATACCGATTACAATTATTTTTAAATATTAAAAATAAAACAGAATGTTACAAAAAAGGGTAGACAACTTTAAAAACATTATAACATAATGATGGAGAGGGTTTGGGCCACCAGGCACCGATATTAATATAAATCAAATAATTTCTAATTTGTAAAAGCAAAAATGATTAATTTCACAAGAATCTATGTATAGAGGCTCAATCTTCCCTTGACATAGCTCATTCTTTATTAAATTTTTATATTCGGAAAAATAAATATTGCTGAAAAAAGTATTATAGCAAACTTTCATTTTTTTTTTAATTAATGTTTTTCTTCTTTGCGGTAAAATTTTTATTAATTATAAAAAAAAGTAATTTGAATTCAATTACATAAAGTAGTTAAAGCGCACGTCTCATTTTATTATCCTTTGACCGATTGCAACATCAGATAATTTCTAATTTTATTTGAGCTAAAATGATTAAAAATGTTAGTTCTGTTCAAACTTCCTCGGATATAGCTTATTCTTCCCTGACTTTTTTTTATTCTAAAAAATTAATATTCTTGAAAAAAGTATGGCAAAAATATTTTTACAATTTTGTTTTTTTTCTTTGTAGTGAATGTTTATTAATTATTTTTAAAAAAATAATTTTTGAATTCAATTACATAAATTAATTAAAACATCCTCATTTTACTTACCCTTTGACCAATTGAAATCGATTTTGATATATATTAACAAAGTAGATATTTTATACAATTGATTTTTATTTTATTTAATAATTTTTAATATCGATTATTATTTTTTTTTCTAAATCAAATTATGATTATTTAATAACCCATGATTGTAAAAAAGATAATGTTTTATTATAACTTTAATATACTTCATTTTTTTTTCTAAATAACATTAGACAAAATAATTATTAAAAAAAAACTTTTTATTTTTTCTTCTCCTTTTTAAATAGAAAAAATGAAATTGATCGAAAATATTAAGTTTGAAAGCAGGAAATGAACGACACTCTAAAATCGGCATCTAGAGGCGATGAAAATAACTTGTTAGAGTGTACGTATGATGGACAATAAAAATAATATCAAAAATGTACCTCATCATCACATCGATTCCGCCACTTCGATCCCCTTCTCGCAGAAATCTTCTGATCCTAACAGGGAAGAAAGTTCTATTCTATCGTCGAAGGAGGTTAAGTTTTCGGAAACTAAGACTAACGATTCAAAGGATAATGATATGCGTATCGTTAATAATTTTAGGTACACCACTACTCTAATTTCTAATCAACGGAGAAAATCTTCGAGCGCTCACAAAAATTATCTCGCTAAACGTGATAAGGAAAATAATAAATTTAAGGATAAAAGTAATATCATTTATGCAGTATATTTTTATGAGTCCGGCGCGGACCAATTTGACCTGTCCTAGCACATGTTGGTTGACTCGAAAAGACATTCCCCTGGGTTCAGCGCCCGATTTGGACCAATTTTCTCAAAATTTTTTTGCAGACCAAAATATAATATACAGAGTTCCTTCTCGCTTTTATATCCTGTTTGATGAAATGGCTTAGCTTGCAGTTTGCTACAGATTGCTTAAAATATTGCACTTTTTTTTTCATCATTTATACTTAAAGCTATTTCAGGTAAGCAATTATCAAAAATGTTATGCATTATGTGATTTAATATATGGAATAAAAATGATATCCTTTCACCATCTTTAAATGCACTTATATTCATTACATTTTAAACAGCATGTATACTTCAATTATATCAATTATCTTTTAGGTTTTTAGATAAATATGAGAAAATTTAAACAATAAGTCATTTAATTTTCCTTTTAATTTTGACTGATTATAATTTTAGTGCAAATGATTAGTATACAGTAAGATAGATGAAAATAGAACATATTTAAATTAAATTTATTACCAAATTTATATTGCTGAACGTTAGTTGAGGGACTTTAAATTATTTTCCATTCAATGAAATTTTATAGGACGGGGATAAAATGTTATTTATTAAATGCGTAATATTTTAAAAAATTATTCCATCAAAAAGAATTAAATTAGAAAATATATACTATAATATAGATAAAAAACAATTTTAAAAATTAAAATTTCCGTGATTCACGGGAAATTTATGCATATGCCTAATCACGCCTGGGAAAAATGGGGGGGGGGGATCCATCACGCCCAATCACACCAAATAATTTAAAATTTATTCACAATCACGCCTTGACCCATTTCAATACACGTAATTTCACGGCCCGCGCCCACCTCTTAAATTATATATAATAAATATTAACTCTATATAATGCATTATTTTTTTGTAACGTATAAACATAAGGTGCCATAGATTTCAATAACTTCCATGATTCAATACGCAATTCAAGTTCTCTAAATCCCTTTGTCCGAATGGTATATGGATCTAAATTATCAGGAATGCCAGAGGGCTCAATTAACAATTTTATCGCTGTACCTCAACAAAGGATTAAATCCTATGCTCTTATAGATGAATGCTATTTTTCTTCGGTGGGGGTTAGCAGCTGATCATTGTGATTATTGTTATTATTATATTTTATTTAATATGCCTGATGATGACCATCATTTTATATCCTTTCCAAGTAGGAGGGGGTCTCCCCCAAATCTCTATTTGTTCGGCCTTTCGTCGAGTCCCTTCTGCGGGAAATTCATAACAGGTATTTTTGTTTGAAGTATTTCTTATTTACCCCTTTATTTTATTTTACTTTAAAAAAATATGTAACAATACCCTTTTTTATCATAACCGCTAAGTTTAATCTTATATAAAATTTATTTGAACCAATCATATTTGAAAATATGATAATTTCCAACACAAATAAGAAAATACAAAATATTAAGAGTGAATATACGTTTAAAAAAATATTATGGCCTTAAACCGGTATGTAATTCAAAATAAAATATAAAATAAATATTTTATAATGATTTAAAAATTTGGTCAAAATATCGTTCATAAATGAAAATCTAATTTTTGCGATTGCGCCAATATTTTATTTGTTTGTGTTGAGGCTTAGATCTTGATGAGTAAAGCTAGTCTATTCAATCAATTTTAAGATGGCATACTTTTAATATAGGTTATTCTCTTGAATAAAAGTTCGTCTCATTTGAGCTTGTACTAATTGGTATCATTGCCAAAATGTACAGTAATTTTAATATATTTGAAAAACTTATAAAATATATTTTAAAATATGCAATGCTTCCACTGTATCTTTTGTAGGATTATCTACAAAAATGAATCCTTCATATAATTTAGATTCTGAAACTAATTAGCATTTAGATACAATTATATTCTCTGAATATAATTTACATAAATATTTAATTTTTCAATATTAAGATTTCATATACCCTCAGATCAGAGGGAGTTATGAGATTTAGTATTTGTAAATTAGATAGAGACCTTTGATAAATCACAGATTTGAGTCAAAATTAAATCCAAAAGTGGAATAAAGCAGATATTTTATAATGATCCTTAATTGGACCATACGTTAATAATGAAAGATTTGTTTATCGGTAAAGTCGAGGCTTGTGAATCTCAAAATCATATAATTTCGCTTTCACCTCAACAATCACATAAATCTCGAGCTGCTGTTGTAATATAATAAATAACATTCGCGATTCTCATAACTTCAGCCAAATCCTTTTTTGAAAAATAAGTTGTATAATAAATAATTTATTAATACATTTCAATGAAAAAAATCGGCAATATTAAATTTAATAATGTACCAGCTTCAGATGAAATATTAGAAGATTCTGATATTTCTTCAAAGGTATACAAAATAGGCTCTTCTACCAAAAAATGATGTAACAGCTTGATGTCGTAGGTTCCATCTTGTGGCTTTTTGCAGTTTCTTTTTTCCTGTAGCACAAGGCCTGGTACGAGTGATGAATATGGATATTATCTTCAAGGATGGATATATACTGATAAGTGATTGTATTTGTACTTTGAATTTAATTTAATCATATATTTATTTCTTATTTTAGGTTTTAAATTATATTTCTAGAGTACCTTCCCCGTCCCTTTTTTTAATAGGGCCGTAGGTTTTGGGTGTGGGCTGTTCTCTTGGTCCTCCCTATCTGTTCCAGCCCACAGACGTTTAAATAATAGTTTATGAACTATTATGCGTACAAGTACGTGCGGCTTGCCCACAAACGTGTGAAGGGCTCCTCATATTTTACTTTATACCTAACTTAAATCTTCCAATTAGATGGAAATGAGGAAAACCTAGCGTAGCTCTGTTGTACCTACAACATTGAGAGGGCGTATGCGCTTTATTCCGTATTCCGTAATAATTATATTCAGCAAATGTTGTCTATTTGGATATCTGAACATTTCATACACTCTAGATATTTTATAATCATAGTTTAAAAGAGGTAAATTAAATATAATTTTTTTAGTTGATAAATTTTTTTTATAAACATTAGTGTTTAAGGTTCTAAAAATGTAAGAAAATTAACTTTAAATTTTTTTTTTCTTGAGATAAAATGTACAAGATATAAATATTTATATTAATTTTCACTTTTTGTTAATATTTAGAATAGAATATAACCTTTTAAAATAGATTACTTTTCACAATTCATGTATCCCTTTTATTTTTTTTTTAAAAATCTTCATATCGGGTGGGGATTTCTCCCCCTCTCTCATCCCCCCTTCTGCTGACTACACGACTGTCCTTTCGAAAATTTTATATACTGAACCTCATATTAAGACGCAACATTTGGCTTGTTTTCCAAACTTTTCAACTAATTCGAACCTTTAAAATTCGGTTCGAATACTTTTACCTACAAACTTATTATCATATATAATATATGTAACTTAGATAGCAGGCACTCATATAAAAATTTGCAAAGATATATAAAAATGGCGGCTGAAACTGATCAATCAATTGATTGATAGATAACTTTTAAAATAATTAGGATATCATAAGGTTGTCCCCCGGATCACGAACTCCTTTTTAGAGGTTAGGGTGAAACATTTTAATAGTTCAGGTTAGGTTTGGGTTCGGTAAATAATCACGTTACTATCTATTTATCGATTAACGATCACGATCGGGTTTTATCCATGCTTCAAAGATTCAACCGATAATTCAGTTTAGCTGACAGCAGCCAAATAAAAGCGTAAAGAAAAGTTATCTGAGTTAGTATTTATAGCCTTAAATTTGGTATCATCGATCGTTTCATTATTTCAGAGTTTATTTTATAATCTCAAATTTCGTTCATTAATTTTTGTAAGGATAGCTATTTTATAAATTATTATACCATCATTGACGGGCTATCATTATAACTATTTTATTACATAATATATTTAAAATTGATTTTATTTTTAATTTTAAGGAGGGGGATAACCGAGGTTCTCACAACACAATGAGCCTCATTTAAGGTGGTAGGAGACTTTCATTTTTATAGTAAATTTTTTGCCAAGTATTAATCTAAAAATCTATTGTGAAAAATTTCGAGGATCTTTGTTCCTTCTAATGATTTAAACATGGTTTTGAAAGATATGCTAAATTTTTTAATTTAAAAATTCACATAATGGCCGAACATTGCGATATTAATTAAGTGGCAGTAAATATTGAAGGACTAATCGAATAAATATAAATTATATTATGGACAATGATGTGTTTATAATTTATATTAATACAATATGTAGTTTCTAGACCTCAAAATAAATATTTGATACGAATTAATTGATATTCGTATTCCACTTTTTTACTCGGCGGATACGAATAATAAATTATTAGTCACCATCATTTAAAACGAATATTGAAGTGTTCGATTCGATATTATTGACCTTTTTACTGATGATCGTAATTCTATCTACCAATATACCGCATGTCATCAGTTAAATAGTAATTTATACTATGAAGGATCTATTTTTTTAATGATAAATATTCAAACTTTATTTTAAAAAAAAATATTGATGATAATTAATTATTTATTTTATCAATTATTTTTCTTGCAATTTAAAAAATATATTCAATCTGATTCAATTCAAACATTTTGAATTGAATTTGATTAATTTTAATTATTAGCCTATTGTGTATTATCATTGTAATGAAGGTGAATGTTTTTTTTTAAGAATTATTTTGTGGGTAATAAAAAAATATTTTATCCGCTTTATTAAGATCAGAGTTTGGAATTTGAACTAGAAATAGTTTTGGTTCAATATTTTCTAAAAAAAAGGATCTAGTTCTCAGATTTTAAGTTCCAAGAATTCCAAATTCTGCTTCCTGTTCCAAACATTGTTAAAAGCAAGGCAACGGAAATTTTTTTAAGAATCATATATATAAATTATTTGTACTTCCTTTTCCTATCAATGTCGAGAAAGAGGAGAGGTCATATATGTTTAAAAGGAATGGTTAAAATATGACTACATCATTAAGATAAGGAGTCCCAAGGATGATCTTTGCTTTACTAACTTATGAGAATTTAAGAGCGTAAAAGAAAGAAAGAGGTTATTTTGAGCCGTTTAACAAGGACATAAGGGATCCCTAGCTAAATTTCGAACAAAATAGGGGTTAAGTCTAGAATCTCAAAAAAGCAAAAATAAACTTTTAATCAATATTTTGATTTCTCAATAAAATCGATTTCCGAAACATTTTTGTAATTTCTTATTACAAATTAATTAATATTAAATAAAAATTATTTAGATTTTTTTTTTAATTGTACGTATATTCTTATATAATTATTTTATTTTTGAAAAAAAAATTATTAATAAAATATAGTTTGAGCCAGGGATTCGAACCGAACCCGAACCCGGAGAAGTGAACCCGGGTTTTTAGAAAAAAACTCTGAACCCGAACCGAACCTGAACCCCATTTATAAAATTTTCAAAACCCCGAACCGAACCCAAGAATTTTATTTGAACCCGGGTTCAACCGGGTTCAGTGTATTATTTAAAATCATATATTAATATATGTAAATACAAATATTATATTTTAAAATTTCCAATTAAATGAAGTGTTAATAAATTTTAAACAACTTAATTCATTTATGCCATTTTTTAATTTATTCTCGATTCCTATTGGAGTGTTAAAAAATTAAACAATTGAATTAATTTACGCCATTTATTTTTAAATTTTTATCTTATTATTCTTAAAGATTATTAATTAGAAGAAAATGGTTAACAAATCAAAGTAAAAATTATTATATTGTTAATTTAAAAAATTCTAAACATCTAACTTAAAAATTGTTAAATGTAGGGCAGTTTTTGTGAACTTATTAAAATGATTTTAAAATTTATATATGCTAATCATTTATTTTTGGTTCAGATTAATTTTTACAAGATATTAATGAAGTGCATATTATAAATGAAATTAAATTTATAAATATCTCTTTTTTAATTCTGAAATCATTGCTATTTAAAAAAATTGTTCTCTTTTTATAGATTTAAGATTAAAGATAAAGTCATATTTGATAAGCATTTTACCCTTAATACAATAGAAAAAAAATAATATGTTCATATTGCAAAGTAAAAATGTCTGGTAATCACTTGTCAAATTTAGAAAGACACCTGGAAAGAAATCACAACAATGAATATTTAAATTATTTAAATGAAAAAACCAAATATCAGGAATTTTTATTGGCAAAAAAACCTAAAATTAATATAGAAACCTTTTTTCCAAAAAAGCATATAAGTATAAATATATCATCTAATGATTTGATGAGTTCTATACTAGAACTTGTTACTGTAAATGGCCGGCCTTTATCAATTATTGAAGATTCGGGATTTCAAAGAATTATAAATCCACTCCTATCTGGGCTCAATTTGGTTATAAACAAAGAAAATTTATCCAGAACTATTAATAAAACAGCCCAATCAATTAGAGACAAAATATCGAGAGAGATAGAAGGAAAATTAATAAGTTTAAAAGTTGATGCAGTTCAACGACTAGATAGGTCAATTCTTGGTGTAAATTTTCAATTTATATCAAAGTTCATTATAAATTTGAGGACTCTTGGAATTGTAGAGCTGAAAGAGAGATGTACAGGAGAATATATAAAAGAGAATATATTAAAAACTTTACTAAAATTTAAAATTAATATTGAACAAATATACACAATTACTTCTGATAATGGTTGTAATTTTTTAAGAGCTATAAAGCTACTGCAACTTGAAACTGATTATGATATAAGGAGTGAATCAGCAGATGAGGAAAATATGAATGTAAATGTATATAAATATGATATTGATGATATACAAAATACTTTTTTATCAACTATTATATCCTATCCGGTACGGTGTGCAGCTCACACACTTCAGCTGGCACTTCAAGATGCTATAAAATTATCACCAAAGCTAGGAGCCTAAATTTAAAATTAAGACATCCCACTTACCAAAAGTTATTAAAAAATATGAAACTCCCTAAGCCTGTGTTAGATTGCCACAGATGGCATTCAACCCATGATATGTTAGAAAGGCTGATTTTACTAAAACCCAATATCGAAGATTTTTTTTCAGAGCAATCTGATTATTTATTGACTGAAGATTGGAAAGAGATAATAACGATTGTTGAAATTTTAAAACCGCTAAAAATCGCAACCAAACAATTCCAATCTGAACAGTTAACACTGACAGATTTTTATGCAGCATGGTTAAGATGCTGCATCGAACTGGAAAAAAATCCATACCATTTTGCTCAATTACTATATTCTTGTCTTAAGAACAGAGAAGAAAGGTTTATAAAGAACGAAATTCTCTTAGGTGCCATATACCTGGACCCAAGATACAAGGTTAATTAAAAGCTTAGTAAATTAATTATTTTAGATTTATATTAAAATTGTTATTTTATGGAATATTTAAATATAAACAATATAAATCCTTACAATAATTACTGGATTTAGCGATTATAAAAGATTAGATAAAAAAGAAAATATTTTGCATTTTTGGGAGTCTGCTAAGCTGGAACATCCTGAATTATATATTTTATCTAAAATCTTATTTGCTGTTCCTGCAACCCAAGTTAATTTATCATATTTTCACATATAAATATACATTTAACATAGGTTAGCGTTGAAAGATCTTTTTCACATTTGAAATTCATTCTTTCACCACATAGATCGAGGATGAGTGAACAACTCTTGGAAGATATTATGCTAATACGTCTAAATAAAATTTTTAAAATTGATACATGACTATATGCTTTGTATTTTTAACTATATTTGCCTATAAATAAAATAAAAAATTTATTTTTTATATCAAATTTATGTCTAGTTTTTTATTATGATTTAAATATAGAATTTTTTTTATCAACTCAAAAATTCTTGAACCCGAACCCGAACCAAACCCGGGTTCAAAAATATTTCCCTGAACGAACCCGAACCGAACCCACCTTTTTTTTATACCCCGAACCGAACCCGGGCAAAAATTTAGTCGGGTTCGCATCCCTGGTTTGAGCTATAAAAAGGTCTTTATTGCTAATTTAATATTCTTTTATATTTATTATAACCCTAAAAATCTAAAGCTATTTTCTTTTTACTCTTTCGTTATCTTCATTCAGATCTTACTAAAAGTAAGGATTTAAAAAAAAAATCGTTGAGTAATCTTATGTATCAAAAAGTAAAATATAACTCAAAACCAATATTTATTAGTTTTAAATTTTTTTTACGTCAATATGTTATTTGTCAATTTGAAAAAAATGTCATTTTACTTGAAATGTATTACAGCAGTTTAAAATAACTATTCTCGCGTTTGAGAAGAAATCATGAACCTTTGAGCTTCTTTTAATTTATATTAGTTTTTTTTAAAAAAGATTTCAAAAGTTAATGGCATATATTGTCTAAGATTCATTGGGACTTCCGGCAAAATCATATTAAATTTTTTAAAGCGCTCAAATCATAATATCGAAACATTACAACTGACGGAAAAACACATTTAAAGGATTATCCACAATCACTTGGAAGTAGGGTTATGCCGATCACAAATTTTAACCGATACGATCCGGTTTTTTATTTCCCAATATTACTACAAACCCGATAACCGATATTAATATTAATTTATTTCGGATTGTTTTTTTTAAAAAAAATATTGGCCTGATCCAAAAAACACCAAATATTGGCTCTGATACGATATTTAATATCGGCACAACTCTACTTGGGAGTTAGACAAATCCCTTATTTAGAATTGCACTTTTGTCTTCACTCCCAAATCAGAATCAAAACTATAACATTCAATTGTTCTATCTACAAATAAACATTTTTATTTTTCCCCGCAAACTCATAAATCTCCAATTGATTATATACTTAAAAAAAATGATTTATACAATTTTTATATTTCATTTTTAGACGCTTCTCGAAAAAGTGAATAATTGGGATTTCAACATATTCTTTTTTGATCAGATTTGCGGAGGTAAATTTCTCCTTTTTAAAAAAAAAAAAATTAAAATCAATACGTAATCTCAATTTTTAAAAATAAATTTTGATTTGAACCAAAATTCAAATTTAATAACAGTCTCAACAAAAAAAGGAATCCTAATCAGGGATCTGTGCAGCCCGCTAACCGGTCAAAAAAATTTTGGGCTGTCACAAAATATTTTATGCCTTAGTGTTCAAATAAAATGGCCTTAAATTACAATTATGGAAATATGTTTTTTTAAAAAACTAAAATTATTAGAAGTTTCGGTTGTTAGGTTAATCGGTATTATCTGATTCCCCTTTATAATTTTTATAAAAACTTTACTACCTTAATTTGAAGACATAATTTTTCTTTGAGAAAGCCTCCTTTTTTTTAAAAAAAACTAAAGCAATCAAATTATATTCATCAATAATTTAAATGAATTACTTATTGTAAAATAAAAAATGTAAATATCTCTAAATTTAATACAACACAATAAGTGTAAATGTAATACCTTAAAGTTGTGTGTAATTTTTACGCGTTTAACTTTCCGCAACATCAAATTGTAATTTATTTTTTTTGAATAAATAATATAGGTAAAGGATTCGTGATATTAGCGTTGCATTTGTTTGAAAGTTACGATTTTTGGAAGAAATTTAATTTACAGCCCATAAATGTCCACCAATTTTTGAGTAACATATTTATTTATGTTCTAGATATTTCAAAGTTTAAGTGGCTTAAGCTAAACCATAACCGGCCAGAAAAAATTGATAATATACATTTAAGGCGGGTTAAGCCGACTTCTAATTTACGTAATAGTTTATATAAAGATATTTTTTTAAAAGACAGGGAAGTTCTATAGTTAAGGCATCTGCTTCGCATCATATCAAATCGTAATTTAATTATAAAACATATATATATATATATACTAAGGCAAAAAAATGATAATTTGGAATTATATTTTTATATTTTAATAAAAAAATATCGCTGGTCTTTATAACATTTTTTAATTCGATAAAAATTGATCGCTTCCCGATTTCCAATAACAATAAGCATAAATTGGGGAAAACTATAATGGCATCAAATTAATTCAAATATTTTTTGCTTTTTAATAGGGCTATGCCGATCCACAAATTTTTTACCCATCCGATCCGATATTTTCTATTGCTAAAAAACCGATCCGACACCTATCCGATATTTATATTGATTTTTATTTACCATTTATATTTGTATCAATGTCATAAAAATATCAATATTTTCTATTTTAAAAACCAACTAACTTTAACGAATGATTAAATGTATTTTTTTTATTCTCCAAAATGAATATTCTCATTTATAATATTTTCATTGTTTTAATGTTACCTAAGCCTCGAAATTTTGCCTATAGAAATCCAAACCTTTCTCCATCTATGGGCAAAATCAATAAGCTTGAGTAATTTACTTTTGGTCAAAATTGAGCTAAACGTTTTTAGAAATTGGCTAAATCAAGCCGTTTAACAACACTAGCTGAATGTGACTCGTTATTTTTCTTGTTGCAGATAATTTAACAAAAAATAGTTTAAATTTTGAACTATTTTTTTAAACATTACAACAAATTTTATTATTATGTAATTATTTATAAAATAAATAAATTATATGATTATATATACAATCAAAAACAATAACAAATATCGGTACGGTTTTAAAAATATCGGTTCCATTTTTTTTTGAAAAAGCTAAATATCGGTGCCGATTCGATTTGATATTTAATATCGGCACTGCCTTACTTTTTAATATGTCCTTAATAATCAGTTTATATTAGTGCTGTAAACATTTCTAAAAAAATCGAACGCGTTCAACGTTCATTGACAAAAATCGAACGCGTTTACGTTCAAGTTCATGTTTAAAAAAAAGGAACGCATTCACAAATTTAATTTAATATAAATAAACTTATTTAATACAATATATTTTAGCCATGTTAAAAAATAATATAGTTTTATTTTGATAATATAATTATAAATAAAATATAATATAATATAGCGAATAAAGAGATATTTTTATTTATAAAAAATTTTTCTTATTAAATTTAATAACAATTGTTTTCAAAATATTTATCTGATAGACAGGAACACTTGGCAGTTAATACGGCATTAGCCTAATACAGGGGCAGATGAGGGAATTGCGGTATTATTCTTAATAAACAGCTCTTTTAACGTGGAGAATTAATTAAAAACATATTGTTTTGTTATTTGCAAAAAATTGATATAAGTTATCCTCCTCCAATCCATTCTCTACTCTCGACAAAAAAAAGGATATCTCGAAATTAACAGTTCTCTAGGGTTTTCAAAGCATTTTTTTCAATATAACGCTATAAGTTTTTTTTGGTTCGTTCTGTGGAAGTTTAATCTATGGCCATTGAACTTTAAATGCTGGATGTATAATTGCAGAAAGAACATATTGATTCTTATATATATGTTCAAATCTTTAAATAAATAAAATATATGTAATTAATTGAGAGTGATAGGTTTAATACCTTTTATTAATCCCATTTAATACGGCGTCTATCAATGGTTGACCATATTTGAGGCCATTAATTTTTTTAATTTTAAAATAACTATCGTTATTGTTGGGGTCAAATATCCCAAATGCATTATATCTTCAAATTTAATGATTTAACTTAGTTATATCATATAAAATCAAATAATTAATATTAAAATCAAAAGTCGTTTTAAATTGGAACCTGAAGATTTTGACAATATAATACTTTTTGGCCACATTTTACACTTGGTAAGCATTGGATTAGTTCCTTCAATATAGGATGTTAATGTAAAACATTTATCATATTTGGACATAATGATTATTCATCTGATTTTGGATTTTCAGAATCAGATGATGAGGATTAAATAATAATATCCATGCTTATGCTAATCTATTAAATTAAAATATAAACAACAATATTCAAATTAATAAACTCTGTGTTAAAAAAATTTTAATGTGAAAAGGAAATACACAGTCGATTAAAAAAATATAAATAATACATTTTTTAAAATAATTCGGAAATATTAAATTTTTCAAATAAATAAAAATAAAAATATTTTTAAAATTGAACGAACGTTAAATTCGAACGCGTTCATCATAAAAAAGGAACGCGTTCGTCATAAAAAAGGAACGCGTTCGTCATAAAAAAGGAACGCGTTTACGTTCTAAGTTCGTCAAAAATAAAAGGAACGCCGTTCATAATTTTTTTCAAAAAAAACGAACTTCGTACAACACTAGTTTATATATATATATTTAAATAAGTCTAACGAATTCAAATCATGATATTAGATACAAAAGTTTCCCTTTTGTAAAATCAAAACTGATATGACTTGCTCTATTTTATCAAACAGATATACTTACATTATTTTTGTGTATGTATATGTCCGGTCATAAAATTTTACTATAATATATTTTTTTTATTAGAGTTCCTAATTTAAAAAATAATGAAGAATTGTTTAAAATTATAATGATAATTTTTCTTCTTCTAATAATTAAAGAGTTGTATAACAACAACAACCAATCAGATATGAATTGTTATAAATGAGGGAGTGATGTGGGAATTTTCTATTTGCAAAATAGACACTTTCTAGAATCCGATATAATCTAAATCACGTATTTTGTTTTTTTTTAAAAAAGGCTTTCTTAATTCACATAAACCTTTTAATTTTATATTAAGGTTAATTCTTCTTTTTTCTAAATAATTTTAATTTGCGGGGTTGGCTATGTTTCTAGCCAGCTATTTTGAGCGCGACTTTGTCATATAAGTTAATTAAATAATACATAATATTGAGGATAGAGATATCTAGGAAAATAAAATCCGATAATACTTTGTAGCGTGACTCAAAATTAATATTTAAATTATTTAATATTATCGTGCGACTCAGCAATAAGTCGCGAAATCGTATGACAAAAAAAATTAGTTAGGACACATTATAAAACATTTATTTGTGAAAATATAGGATAACAATCACCCTTATTAACACTTTATAGCCTTAACGCCCGCTTATTGAGAAATTGCTTGAAATTTTTTTAGAATTTTATTTTTATACTATCGATCCTTTAACTTTATTGTAACTTGTAAGTTCCTTTAAAATTAGCCTCTTCCATAATAAAAGTTCAAAAATTACTCCCTCCCCTTTAGATTCAGTGTTCGAAAATTATCTGGAAGCCAATCCTTATCATAATTCTTTACACGCCGCAGATGTTACCCAAGCTTTACATTGCTTAATACAAGAAGAAAAGGTAATAAACTTTATTTATGTTATATTATATAATAAATTACTCACAAAATGTATAGTGGTACGAGTATTTAAAGCCGGAAGATATATTTTCCGTCATTATAGCAGCGATGTGTCACGATATCAATCATCCCGGGTTAAACCAACATTTTTTGCTCGAAACTCGCGATCTACTCTCTCTTATTCAGAAAGTTTAAAAAAAAAATTATTTTTACCAATAAGTAGCGCGAAACTATGTACTATATTTATTTTAGGAAGAGCCTATCCTCGAAAATCATCATTGGAGTATGACACTTAGTTTACTCAACCAATCCAAATTGTTAGATCATTTGTCCATTGATTTGAGGTTTTACAATAAATAATAATACTAATAATTCATGTTAAATTTTTGCAGTCTGATTTTTTTAAAAGTACTCAGCTGTATTTCATTTAAGCATATGGATGGAAAACCAAATGAAATCTAATTATTTAATCTGCCCTAGGCATGATCTGATATCGGCCTGGTTGACTTTTAACACTTGAAAGGAATCGAGAAAAAAATTTGATTTCGAAATTAGAATGTAGCTTTAATTAAAAATTGCTTTTTTTTCTGAATGAATGAATATAAAATTTATTCCTGATTAACCTTGCTTAGATGTTATACTTGTTCAAATGACAGTTACGTCCAAATCTGTTTTTAACTCTTCGTTATGCACTAATATATTTTCATGCAACTGACACGTAAATGTTATTGTAATACACTAAGATTGTAAATGATTTTTTTGAATGTATAATTAATTAATGCTTTTAAGTAATCATATCAACCTAACTTACACTTAATTTATTTTTAAATTAAAATTTTTACAGGCAAAATATTTTATCTCAAATAAAATCGTTCATTTTGGCAACTAACATCAAACTACATCAAGATTATATAGTCAAATTTCGCTCAAAAATAGATATAAACGAAGGAGATATCTTATGCAGCCACGTGATCTCAACTCCGAACAATCAAAACTTAATTAACGAGCCTAGTAAATTGGATCCTAAAAGATTAAGCCTGCTACTTAAGGCCGATAAAAGCCATTTCGATTTAAATCGTCTTCCAGATCGACATTTTTTGTTGCAGATAGCCCTGAAATGTTCGGATGTAAGCAACCCCGCTAGACAGTGGACTATCAGCCAAAGATGGAGTCGCATGATTTGTCAAGAATTTTTCAATCAAGGAGATATAGAACGACTTATTAAAATACCAGTTACCGCCTTCTGTGATCGCACTCGCACCACAATTGCTCAAATGCAAGAAGGTTTTTAAAGATATACGCAGCTTATTTTTTTAAATTATATATGTCATATCGTATTGGGATATGAAATCCATATGGATTTGGAATCTATCAACATAGAGAGTACCAACGCTGTGAATTTCAGACAATTTTGCCATTAACTTTTGAACTACATTTAATTTATTGACATTTTTATTTAGATTTTCTATATAAATTGAAAATATTCACAAAAATCTAATGGCAAAAATAATCTAATATTCACAGGGTTAGTTACTCTACATATACTGGAATTTAAAATTAGACTTTCCAAATCTTATTATATAAATAAATAATCGATGTAAGTATTTTTTTTTGCGAAATTTTATTTCTTTGAGCCGACTTTTAAAAACGGCGAACTCAATATTTTATCCAGAAAAGTATTACGCAGGTCTAAAGATCTCATAAATGACACAAAGGTTTGGACACCTTATTACCTAAATCTTTAGACGTAGGCAATATTTTTCTTGGCTAAAATAATGAGTTAACCGTTTTTGAAAATCGACATAAATCGAACCCTTTAACAAACTAAATTATTCCAATAATAACTTCATTTCATTTAATAAAATACTCAGCAGAACGACTATGCATGCATGCTTTAGGATTCAATATCAAAATATAGTAAAATAGGAGAAACCTGGGAAGGTAGATTTTTTTTAGACCCCCAGCAACTTTAAAAAATTTCCATTCACCTTCAATTTTTTGGATAATTTAAACATGGGCTCCCTTGTTCCTTTGGAAAATCTAGTGACTTCACTTTGATGCTATTAAAGGGCTCTATTCAGCCAAATTTAAATTAAGATTTTAGCCAAAATTATATTATGCAAGCTTCAAGATTTCGGTAATAGATGCTCAAACCTTTATGCTATCTATGAACAAAATCTCCAGATTTATCTAATGTTTTTATGACTAAAATATTGGATTGGCGTTTTTAAAAATCGAACTGTATATCAACAAAAAGCCATTGTCCCATTTAATACTTTAAAAATCTCTGGGACGATTTTTTTTAAACCTTTCATAAAGGCCCCCTTTGTTTCTCGTATTTTCTAGACTCTCTATCAAAAAATCATAAAAATCTTTTTAAAAAATCGACCGGCTCTTTGAGTCATCAAATTAAAAAAAAAACCACAAAATAAGCTGGGCTTAAATATTTATTTTAAAAACCCAGGCCTAGTCTGAAAATAAGCATACCTTTTTTTGCAGGCCTCTGATAATAAAGGATTATAAAATATTATGAAATGACAAATACAGTCTAGTAAAGGGTTCAACCTCGATAAAAATTGTAAATATATTTTATCCATAACAAAGTACTTGATAACTCTTTTTATAAAAAGGTTTTTTAGAATACGTCGTGCTACCTATATACGCCGAATGGCATCGATTCGTTAATAGCCCATTATCTGACATTATAATGTCTAACATATTATCTAATCAAAAAAGATGGGACACAATTATTAAAGAGATAGAGACTACAAATTTTATACCCGCGATACCCGAGGAAAGTGAAGATATCATAAACGATTATTCAATTAAGTATAATATTAAAAAAATAATAATTTTTATATAAAATTTAATCTTTTTTTTATTAATATACATTATAAATTTACATAAATCTATGTTAAAAAGGAAAATGAAAAATATTTAAAAAACGAACAAATATTTATAGAAAAATTAAAATGAAAAATGCTAAGTGAATAATTCGCGGGAGATATATATGTTTTTTTCCTTATGGATTTGGAAACCTTTTTGAAAAAGTGGCTTGCCCAAATGAGCAGGATGATGTAGGTATGATGGGAACAAAGGGAAGAATATTTTTGACATTCTAATAACTCCACCCTGAGTAGAGGGTCATGTACGGGCAAGGGGGTCTTTGCTTGTAAAATTCCATACCAAGGGTTTGCTAGATACAAAGGGGAATATAGTTTTGTCGTCAGAGCGTTTTTTATTTATGTTGAACGTGGGTTCAAGAATGCACGAGAGATTTGCCTTATTGAGAAATGTTGCAATAAGTGTAATTTTGTTATGTCGATTAGTTTTAGATATGAATTTACAATGGAGCGCATTGTGTCCAAAACAGTCTGCAACCTGATTACATTTATTGAAAGCGATTGGTTTAAAATGGTATGCCCAGGCGCAAACTGATTGCATAACGAAAAGAGTCGTTATCTATTAGTTGACTGTTTAAAATACTGGGGTAGGAATCAAGCTCATGGTCAGAATTGTTAAAATTAAGCCTCCTGAGGAGGGTATTGATGACATCGATTAAGTTGAGGTAGGCGAAGGAACGAGATACCAATCCTAGATCACAGTCTTTTTGCTTTGATGACTCTGGTTGAGGTGTATTTTGGGCAATGCTGATCCACCAATTTAAGGCTTCCTTCATCAAACTATCAATATCAGTTGAAATGATTTGGGAAATGATATGTTTCACAAATTTCGTAGAAGTATATAAAGAAAGGATGGAAATAGTATAGCAGTTCTAAGTCTTAAGCTTCCCGATTTGCAAGGAAGAGTTGCCTGAAGCCAGGAGTTAGAATCGAATTTAATATTTCGTAACTCTTGCATCATTATAAAAATGTTTGTTCATATTTTTTTTAAAAGAATTTCAAACGCGTAATCACTTGAGGTTTTTAAACAATATTGCATTTGCGGAATTAAAAAGGCATTTTTGAGGATAAAATAAGCTTGAAAAATGGGTAATTTATTTAAAACTGGTAGTTTGAGGAATAATGATTGCAGGCTATTATTTAAAAATTTCCTTCTGTACCTCTCAACGGGGCTCCTCAGGGGTGTTTGTCGAAAATTATCTAATAAGGAGTTAGTAGAGGGTGGGGATGAATTAATTTCTCATTTTTTGATAGTCGAGTTGATTAAAATGTTTTTAATTATATGAAGGTATTGCTGAAAAATGGTCCCCAAATCATACAATCATCTAGGTACCAGACGTGCAGATTGAGTTTGCACGAAAGAGCAATGCCACTAAAAAGGTGTTTTAAGAGTGTAACAAAGAAGCAAGTGCCCTGGATCTCACTGCTGAAGATCCTTCGCCGATTTAATAAGCAAATCATTGAATTTAAGTAAGGAATGGTTCCATAGCTGAGATGGATGCAATTGTGATAGTCAGGGAACGTTTTTAAGAAGGCATCATTCATATTATTTCTATTATTTGAATTAAAAGCATCGGATATGTCAAGTTTTACAATAGATTCCTCTGATTTAAAGTTGGATAAAACTATTCGATGGCAGGGAATTACGGCTTCACAGCCTCCTTTCACTCCGAACCCAACTTGGTACAGAGCTAAAAAAATATGGTTAATTAAAGGCCATTACAAATAATTTTTGAAATAGTTAGACGTTATTAATGTTCTATAGCTATTGCACGTATTTGGTTAGATTTTTCAAGTGCAATTAATCGAGCATCAAAGATTACTAGGACAAGATTATATGGCAATTTTCCATTGATAATTAAATTAAAAATTTTGTAATGAATTGAATAAGAATTCAGAATATCTAAATCCAAGAGATCGGTTTTGATACCTGTTAAAACTTCTCCTGAAGATATATTCAAACTTGTATTTATTAGGGCAGTATTTATGGTGGATATTTTGATTCTGGGTGTTTATCTAAAAGTTGGTATCTCGTGCTTAAATTGAATTGCCACATAATCTTGCCCCAGTAATTTTTGGTGATGGATTAATTGCACTTAGAAAATCTGAAAACCAAGTACGTCCAATAGCTATATGAATTTTCTACCGCCGAGCTACTTCAAAAATTATTTTTCAAGTTTAGTCCGTATCAAGTTGGGTTTGGAGTGAAAGGAGGATGTAAAACCGCTATTCACTGCAGCCGATTAGTTTTATCCAGCCTCAAACCAGAGGAATTTGTTATATGACCTTACTTATCCAATTCTATTAATTAGAATAATGTTATCGATACTTTCTTAAAAAACGTAACCTGGTTATCACAATTATATTCATCTCAGCTACGAAATCCTTCAATGATTTGCTAATTAAATCGACGAAAGGTCTTCAGCAGTGAGATCCATTAGGACCCTTGCTTTTTTCTTACACTCTTAAGCATCTTTTTAGTGGCATTGCTCTTTCGTGCAAACCAATCTGCACGTTTGGTATCTAGATGATTGTACGATTTGGGGAACCATTTCATCAATTAATCAATCTCTAGATATAATTAATGAACATTTAGTATAAATTAATATAGATCAATGACGTATCTAAGATTTCATTTCGGAATCCGTGTAAAAACAGTTTGTGGTTAGCTCCAGACTCTCATCCTTTTCTTCTAACTGACTTGACTTGATAAAATTTTGATAGCTAAATAAATTCAACATCACTTACACTTGGGTTTAGGTAGAGTTACCTTTAGCTTTATCCAGTGACCCCTACACTTTTTGAGGGATAGAAGCAGAATACCCCCCCCCCCCCCCCATTGTAAATTATTTTTTGACACCAATAAATTTCAAAAATAATTTTTATTGCATCAATATTTATTATAATATAAATATAATGTAAAAAATATATGCTTTAAAAATATTATTTTTAAATTAATAATTTAGATAAATAAGGGGAAGAGAAAGCAAAGGAATTTATAATTTCATCAATATTTAATTGTTTAAATAAATTATTTTCCATTGATAAAATGGTTAAATTATTAAGAAATGGATCTTTCATGACACTACGAAGTCTTGTTTTAATTAGTTTAATTTTACTCATGACCCTTTCGGCAGTACATGATGTAGTAGGAATAGTTAATAAATATTTATATAAAATTGTTAAATTTGGGAAAGCAGAAAAATTTATAAGCAGACGATAAGGTAAAATAAATGAATAGTTTCTCCAGTCTGAATCATTCATCTCAGAATTATTATCATCATCAGAAGAAGCTAAATAATGTATTAGTAAAAATTTTTAATTAAATAAATTTACAATTCTCAGAATCTGACAAATCTTCTTTAACCTCTAGGTCACGAGTAATAATTACGTCCCCCGTTTTAGCCATTTTATAAATATTTCTAAACATCAACATTTCCTCAAAAACTTGACTTGTATTTAATTGATAAAATTCACAAATATCCTTGATCATCTTTAACAATTGCCTTTTCCGCCATTCCCTTTGGGGTAAAAAAATGATGTTTGACTCAAAAATTTTATCGATTCATCGTTAAATCTTTCACTAAACTGCATAATAATTAAATCAAGTGCAGCATAAAACACTGATTTTAAAGCTAAAATAAAATATTATATTTAATGATGAAAGTATATATATATACCTCTCCTTTTTGGATTGTAATGTTTGAAGTCTTGAACTTTCAAAATCAAAAGGTAAATTTCTCTTCTTCATAAAATCTTGGGCCTTTGAAAAGACATCCAAAAATTCAGTGTTATTATCTATTTTAGGATTATAAAATAATAAAAGATAATAATTTAAATTATACTTCTCATATTAATCAGTCAATCTTTTGCCAATTGAATTTGATTTATTGCAAACCCTATATCCTTCGAAATGGTTTGCAATTTTGTACAAGCCAAGCTTGTTATCAACAATATTTTATCCAAAACACATAGTGATAAAATAAAATCAAATTTTTCTATTCTATAGACTATAGCACTAGCCATAGTGGAAGTGGCAGGCTCTTCAGAATCCTTTAAATTTGCCAAAGCTGCCCTCAAAGCATCATAAAGTAGGAAAAAATTTACAATCGCCTTATATGATGTTAGCCAGCTTCTATAAATATAAAATAAACATTATATATCGAAACAATTAAGATAATATTACCGAGTGGGATTCTTGATGCGTAAAAATCTATGTGATTTTGTCAGTAAATCACTCTGACATGTTTTGAGCACTTCATATCTTTTAACACTATTAAAATATACGTAAATTTCGTCTAATATTCCCAAGACATTTCGCAGCTCTTTTACTGATTGGCATAATTGAACAACTATTAAATTTAATCGATGACAATAGCACCAAATAAAAGCTGCCTTTGGCGCCTCCGCTCTAATCAAAGCCTGCACTCCATTAATTCTTCCACTCATGTTTGAGGCGCCATCATAGCTTTGCCTCACTAGGAATTCGAGGGGTAGATTCATGGAGCCAAGCTCGGATATTATATTCTTTTTAATATCGAGGCCCGTTGTATATCCCGTACAATAAATGTCTATCAGCCTTTCAACGGGCTTAGGTGTCTCGCTATTTTCAACATATCTCACTATCAAAGCTATTGCTTCTGATTTCGATACATCATATGTGCCATCAACTATAATTGAATAGCACCTGTTGAATTCAATCTCCTTTTGAATTTTTTTTAACCATATTTTTCATGGTTTCAATAAGAATATTTATGTTTAGATTTTAATCCCTTAGTTTTTTTCTCACTTCTTCTTTCTTCATTATCTTGTATACACATTTTAAGAACAGGCTCAGAATCTGCAATAAGTTTAATAAGGCTCATCATATTGCCATCTTGTTGCCTGTTCCCCCAGAAGGCTTGATTGCGAGATATTAAATATCCTAGGCATCTTATTATTATTCTAACGATATAACGGTTATTATCGACACATTTCTTTTGGGGTATTATAAATTGTAATATGGAATTTTTATTGTGAGAAAGCCTTCCATAATCGGCCATCATATGTGCCTGTGAAGATTCATGCACAATAATATCACGATTAATATTTTGCCATATATTAAGACCTTCACATGTCCATTTTGAATTTGAGTGTGGACCTCTAAATAATAGACATGTTAAGCAAAAAACTTTATTCATTTTAATACTATATGTAATCCAATTTCTAGCAACTTTGCTCTTGTCAATATTAGTTTTCTCATAAACTTTCATTAAAGGATCTGTTTCTATTATTAATATCTTTGGGGAATAAATAATGTTTAGGTTGGAGAGCTCCTAATTCTAGATATTTATTAATTATAAATTTGTCAATTCTTTTTCCAACAATATTGATGGGATCATTTGATTCCTAAGAAAAGGGAGGGGGAGGGAAGATAAAATAAACATAACATATTTCACATTAAATCGAGGTTTAACTTCTTTTGCTGATCTTGATAACTCATTATTCTCCATTATTATCAATCCCACAACACCAGATCCAGATGGCATCTCTTCTTGATGTTGATCCTTTTCTGTAACTGTAGTAGTGTCCATAATATTTATCTTTGACATGATAATAATTATAAATTTATATTTATTTAAATATTATATAACTTGTTTTTCTTGAAATTTTTCTTTAGCTGAGACATTGACATTGAAGTATCTTTCAAAATTAATTTTAAAACAAATATAATCTAATAATTAATATTTTTTTAAATGTTGTACTTGAAAATAATTCTTTATGGTATTACTTTTGTGTTTTAATAAAAATTTTGGTTGTGGTTCTTCACCTTGTTCTTGTTCCATAGCCATACTCAGATTAATCTTAATGGGTGTAAGTTCTTTTTCTTCCTGTTGTATTCATTAAAATTTAAAGATAAATTAATATTTATTACCAGTAGAGAGATAATAGGTATTACTTGTTCTTCATCATTGTCAAATCTCTGCTCTATGTCTGCCTATAAAAAATATTAGAGTAGATAAAAAATAAGAATAATAAAATAACTTCTGGTTCACCAATTTTATGATCATTATCAGAGTCAGATATAATATTTTCTTCTAACATATTTTCATTATTAGTACACTTTTAAAAAAATAATCATATTAATAAAAATATTTATTATACCAACAGCATTGATTTGCCAATTTTTACTTCTTTTTCTTTAAATTGTGTTTTAATACCCTTTATATAAACAATTAAATATTTAATAAAAAAAATTACTTTGCTATTTGTCCAATTTTGAGAAATATTCTTAAAAGCCACTATTTCAAAGCTTTTCTTTATATCGTGAAAATTAAGCCCACCATGTCTTTTTCTAATATGATCTGTCCATTTATCATCTCTTATATTATGTTATGTACAATTTTTAATCAAGCATTTATATTTTTTTTGGTTAATATTTTTGGGCATATTTTGACAATGATCTAAAAATTATAAATGATTATATAAAAGATTTAATATTTAAATTTTTACTATTCCCTTTGATAAAATTTTAATTTTGCGCCAAATCTTGAAAGTGGAAAAATAATTTTATGATAAGAAATATCGGATAACAAACTAATTTGCTAAACATCGACCATAAAAATTTTTTTTAAAAATTTTTAAAAAAAAGAATATCCCCATAGAAATTTATAAAAGCAGTTGCTTCGGACCCTCCCCCCCGTTGTAGGGGTCACTGGCTTTATCTCCCAATTATCCAATTAATTTTTTCAATCAAATCAACGAAACTAAATATTTGTTTTTACTATAATTTTTATGTTCTATTTTACTTTCCTTCCAGGATTTTTATAATTATAATAAGATCCTAAACATAAAGGGAAACAGTGGCAAGTTCTAGACAGAACACATTAGTCCGCTCTAAGTTTTTACATAAGACAAGAGTGAAAACATGATTGACTATAAAAAGGATTTTTTAAATGGGATGGGAAAAATTGAAAAATATAAAAAATGGACATGCGATTAGTGCATAGAACTATAACCGGCCGAGTAACTCGTGACAAAAATTCTTTCTGGGCGGGAGCGGGCCAGATAGTGCAGATCTCTAATATTAGAAATACTGTTTTATAAAGGTAGAAAATGTTTTTAAAAATTATATCGCACACACTTAGGTTATTAAAAATTCATCTAAATATGTATTATATTATAAGGAATGAAGATCAAGACGTAGATAATTTGCCGTTGTCGCAGTCAACTGCTCGATTGATGGCGGATTACGAGAACATAGGTGTAGATCTTATCCTTTGGAGAAGATACTCCGTCCCACTATCATTGCCTAAAGTTAATATATATTAGTATCGATTATTTACAACAAATTTTTTTATAATTAAAAAAAAATTATTTTTATATTGGTCTTGTCATCACAATAGGTAATATTTTATTTAATGGAATTGCGTTAACCAACTTTCTTTTGATCATTACACCAGTTTTGATTTTAAACTATAAATAATAATAATAATATAAATTTTTCTATAGGTTTTCTTTTTTTATTATTATTATTAGGAAATATGGTCCATTAGGTTGAAAAGGTTTCATTGTAAGAATCTTCTTAAATTATTTTCACTAGTTCGGTAATAGAAAAATTGGTCTTGTCAGACCTAAGGGAATATTTTTTGAAAAAAGTTCACATTCTGATTATAGAATACTTTCTTTTTTGAACACTCACATTCACTTAACATATATTGAAGTTTATATTAGTATCATTTATGTTTATTGCCATTAAGATTGAGTTCTTCTCCAATATTATTGGAACATAATGAATTATTATTAAAGATTTCTAAATTTTAACTTAAGAAATATAATTATAAAATATTTCATGAAAAAAAAAACTACTTTTAAATAAATCATTGTTAAAAAGCGACATTTTTAACGCAACTCGGGAGCAGGAGCTAGCTTTTTTTGGCTCTTCCGTTTCTTTAATTTTATTGCATAAATTGTAAAAAATAATCGTAGTAATTAATTATGTTAAATACAATAAAAATAATATATATATTTAAATTTAAGAAACTATATAAATATTAAATGTTTAGCCAAGTTGTTATTTATATCAATTTTTTTTTATTTGCGCTATTTTTAAAATTCAAATTATGAAACTTTACATAAAAGCCATGGGAGATAATATCTTGTTATTAAGTGCTACTAAAGATATAGAAATGGATGAAATAAAATTTTCATTCCTATCCTACAGGGAAATTTTTTTTTCTCAAAGAGGTGAATTAAATAAAGCAAATATTAAGCCCTGTTTATTATGTATAAATAAATCAAACTTATGGCTAAAACAATATATTTATAGATAAAAAAAATATAATTTTGTTATGTATATTTCATATTACAAATTAAAATCAAAGGAACTAGCGGCTAAGAAATGGCATTCCCTTTTTTAAATTAAAAGTAGAAGTGCGCTTTTTTAAAAAAAAAACTCATTAACGGGAACTTATGCTAGCTCCTTTTCAAATGGCAAAAGCTAGGAGCTCGCTTCTTTTAAAAAGGGGGTTAACAACTCTAAAGGTAATTTTCGGAAGTTTTTTTTTACCTTTTTGTGGCAGAAAGGTTTGGACATCTATTTACTACATCTCATGGTTTACATAATATTATGGCTAATTATTAATCAATCCTTTTTTAAAAATTGACTCAAATCTGGATTTTTAACAACACTATGTTCACGTATCAAGTATATTATTTCACTGTATTAATATTAATCTTGTTTTTTAAATCAAAGAATATAGTATATCTTATTATTTATAAAATAAAATATACATATTAATTCACGTATTATGATAATAAAACAAATATAAATTCCCAAACAACCAAATTGATAAATATGATGAGAACTCATTTTATTAGAATTATATTATTAGTTTTATAATAAATAAATATTATGTCTTGGGTAATGCTTATAATTAAAGATATGCTTAGAAATCGACATTTTTTTTCTTTTAGGAGCACTACTGTGGGCCCTTGTGACACGCCACTATATAGCAGGAAAATTAATATAAGGGGGAGGGGGGGGGGGTAGGGTCATAATAAAAATAATGATAGTAGTTCAGTCCATTTATTTTACTAACTTCCCATTTTTTAATCCAGGCCAAAAAATAGTTTCGCTATCATTGAAAACATTATCAAAAAAAAAATGTCTACATGCTCGGTGTTTTTAATATTTAAAAAAGAAATGAATGCATCATACGTCAATGTCTTTTATATATTATTATTATCCCATTTATTATATAAGATAGAGTAGAATACAACTTATTGATAAGCTAATCATATTTAAGATTCTTTTCTTTTTTTATCCAAACGGTTTTCTATTTATATTATATGCTTAATTGAAAATTTGTACCCCTTCTGACCCTGTTATAATTTTTGAAAAAACAAATCACGTAGCCCTCTGAAGGGATGGATTCCGAGCCCCGTCGCGATAGCTTCCCACGCTTTCAAAAGGTAAAATGGCACACTATTTTCGAGGATGAAACTGGGTTAAACCGCGGAATTTTAAGTGGGAGACGAGCTAGCCTAGAATCACGCCGTCGAGCCACAATGGATGCCATCTTGCTTGATAAAAGCGCTCTGATGTCGTACGACGGCTCGGATGCGATCAACACTCTTTGCGCTAGCAACAGGCGCTATTCGTTGCTCACAAACCCGCTCTACTTTTCATCTACTATGATGGCCAAAATCAACAATCTTACCAGGCGAGAGAGCATTCCTCTTCATTCTCAGAAATTAAATGTTAACCAAACCGAGGAGGAAGCTATGACTAGACGTTTTTATATACATATATATATTTTAAAGTGTAACTTTTTATTAAATCCAAATTTAAGTGAAGGTATATAATTAAATAATTAATATACGTAACAGAGCCCTAAACGGCAATTATATACAAATTTATCAAAATTAATAATAGTCCTCCTTTGCATGTAATGGCTAGTAATCTTAACATTTTTTAAAATTATGGAGTATGATTTCAACTGAATTTATTTTTATCTGTTTGATCAAAAAAGCCTTCAAACTTGTCTTTTATGGCTCTGCCTATAAGTTTATTTATAGTATAACAAATGGCTTGATATTAGGATATATCAAACAAATTTTTTCGAAAACGATTGTAACAAATACGAATATTGAAATATTCTATTCGTTCAAATAAATGAAACAATTATTGGATTCAAATAAACTTATTCGAATAATTATAATCATTGGTTTCAAATATCAATAAATGGTGCATAATTTTAAATAAAAGTTTTAAACTAATTTTTATGACTTTATCTTTATTGACTTTCATAACATTCTTCCCGCGAAAATTGACATTTATGCACTTAGTAAAATTTGTTTTCTGATTTTACTTTTATATCTATATTTCAAACCCTATAAAATTATGAATCAATAAATCGAAAATATCATAATTCTTATATTTTTTAAATAAATTTATAAGCTAAAGAATTAATTTGAATTTTTATAAGGATACTGTATATAGTAGATTTAATTTATTCTTAAACTATTTTAGTATCATTTATTACATGTAAACATTTTAATAACATAATTTAATTAATAATGTTAATATATTTGTAAATAACACTAATTTTTCCAATTTTATTAATTTCAATTATTCGATTTTGTCTATTTATTTTTAAACATAAATCACCACGCATAATAATTTTTATTTATTTAATTTATCATAGGAAAAGAATTTACCTCAAGGAAAAATAATATTTGTGTTTCCTTGGACGATGCCATAAGCAATCCTAATGATTCTTCCTTCTCCCTTCTAAATAGAAATTTAGCTTTGATATACATTTCAAGAAAGAAAAGTCAAAGCTAATTTTTGTAGCGGTTATTATTTTACCTTATAATGCGATCAATGCAATATATTTTATGTCAAAAATATTAATAAAGGCAAGCAATATGATAACAACAACCATAATTTATTTTATATTATATTTATAACCTTTTGTCATTTTATTTTACTATATGATTGTGCATGTTCGAGCGAAATATTATTGTTAGACAATTGAACTGTTATTTATAAAGAATGTTTTTATGTTAAATTTTAAATTGAAAAATAGAATTATTTTACTTTTTAGATAAATATGGTAGATATGTCCTAACTGAGATCATCTGTAATCCATGGGGAATCGAAATCATTCAATACCATTAACTGAGGGTCCTATTTTATATTTAATAGTAATTTGTAAATTTTTAAAAAAATACACACAAGTTAATGGCAAAAATTGTCCTAAATTTATAGCGTACTATTATACACTACACATTTTCATGCAAATCAAATTTTCAAAATTAAAAATTACCCTCCAATTTCGTTGTGTCACTGAAGCGATGCGTTATTCAATGCTAAACTATAGTATATCTATATAATTTAACATGTATTATGTAAATTATGCATTGCTTGATTGGTATCGCGGTATTTCGCACTTACTATAAACAAGGCCTTACATCGGATTATTTTGGCAGTCTGTCCTTTCCAAAATATAAAGGTGGTATCTCTCCTTTCAAGAAATTATTCAAGATAAAATTTCGATTCAAAATTATAATATATTTTACTTTTATACATATAAGAAAATAGCATATAAAATTCAATATAAACATTAAAGGCGGATCACAAATTCGCACTAGAGTTATCGAATAAAACTAAAATGCTTATATTACCTTCCCCAAAATTTGAGTTTTAAAATTAAATGCCTCTTGGTTCTTGTTTTGAAAATTTACGAGATGAATTTTTTTAGGAATTATGATTCACTAGGATTCCTGATAAACACAATTTCATAAAGATTCGCACTTAGCTGAAAATAATATATTCACACCCATTGTGATTAACATGCTGTTCTTTTGAAAATTATGAAATCCCCAATAAACTTATATAAAAAAAATCCTTAAACAACAATTTTAAGGACCTCGATCAAACAAAAATTAACTTTGAAATTATATGCAACATTTTAAAATTGTTTAAATATTCCTTCATAACCTGAAGGATGATAAATTCTATTTATTTTGGATGAATATTATATTTTATGGATATATATAATTTACGTTTACGAAATCCTTAAATCCCTATTTCCCAACCTCATAGGATTTCCCATCCAATGCTTATCCTTCCTAGATAAAATTATGTTTGTTCAGTTAAATTTGGGATTAATACAAAAATAATAAAGATTTAAAATCACAATATTTTTAATTTATAGAAAGACAAGTATACTTTAAAAATAATCTACTAAGGTATGTATTCGTTGCAAAAATATACTATAATAACTATTCATAATGTAAATTATATTGGAGTTATCCTGATCTAAGATAATATTTCGTAAGATTCTCTGAATGTGAATATGTTGAATTTTTGGCAACTTGATTTTTAATTCCCTATATATTACCATTATAATACCGTTATGTTATGTCTTGACTTATATATAAATTGTGAATATTTAAATCTCTAGGAATTTTTATTCTAGATATTTCTTCATAATATCCTATACAGGAGATGCCATTTTCCTCAAATGTTGCCCTCGTATAATTTATAAATTATTTAGCGCATGGGTCTTAAGTAGTGTTGTTAAAAAACCCGATATGGGCCGATTTTTAAAAATGGCCCTATTAACATTTTAGTTAAAATTATATTGCCTAAGTTTCAAGATTTACCACGTAGAATCCTAAACCTCTCTGCCATCTATAAGCAAAATCACCAGGCTTACACAATATAATTTTGGTTATAATCTTAATCGGGCCGTTTTTAAAATCAACCCGAATCGAGATTTTTTTAGCCTTAAGCCAATCATTTACTCGTTTGTCACCTTTACTTTTAATTCAGTCCACTAATATTTGATCGTGACTTTTTAAATACTTGCTTTTATGAGTAATAATATTTATTTTCTTCGCCTATTTTCTGTTTTTTTGCAGAATTTAAAGATTAAATATAATGATTTTTTTCTACTCTATAATTTTTATAACAATAATATATCATCGGTTATGGATAAAGCCCATGGAGAGTCCTTAGGATAAATTGCTCCAAACAACCCCCTCCCCCTAACGAAAAAATTAAGGGAACAAAACCTCACACCTCAGTAAAATAAAAAATCTAGAATCACGCGTTCTCTCCTGGAAAATAAATCTTTTCGAAGATCATAGGGATAAGGCAGCGTCTACATAACAGAATACTCACTGGATACAAACCTACCTCAAAGATCTATGCCTATACTAAAAAAATTCAGCCGCCTTCGGTAGCGAAATTCTTACGTCAAGAATTTCAAATTATAATGGTAATTAGAAATGGGCGCGGGCCTGATTTTTTATTCACGACCCGCTCGGACACGCTAGCAATAAAAAAATTTACGCTTAGGTCTAAAATTTTTTTGACCCGACCCGCCCGCTTACGAAAGTCTATATTTTGATTCACACCCGTCACACCAGAAAATTCACTTTGTTTTAAAATTTTTAAAACTTTATTGCTATAATTTTACACTTTTGTTATATTTATTTCTCTAATTCATGATCCATATTAATAACAAAAGAATAAATAAAATTTATAAATTGAAATTTTTATTTAGAAAAAGGAGAATGCCCATGTTTTTTTATTTGAATTGTGTCCTTCCTCTAATAGGGGATTGGCTATAGAAAATAACCTTTCACTAGAAGTCGATCTTGCAAGGGCTGACAAAGTTTACTGGATAATTTTCTCAAAAAAGGATTTTCATGCTTCCAAAACTTCAAAATATTGTCATTGTTATTTGTCTTATATGCAATGAATCTTTTAAGTTCATCCTCACAGCTTTCATCGGTAGATGTTGATGCTTCATCAGAATCATCTAGAAATTCTCTAAATTTTTAATTTAGAATTAAAGGTATTTTATAAGTGTAGAATAAATGATAGTTAGCAATGACTTATGCATATCACCTACTTTTATATCATTTAGCATATTTAAGGTTGTTTTATATATCTTCCCTTTTACTTAAGTCTAAAATTCGGATCTAGAATTAAGCCTGCTTTATGTAATGGTTTCATGATAAATCTTTCTTTTAAAAGAAATCTTATCCTGTTTTTTAAGGTTTTGATTATTATTGTATCACTTTAAGAAGGTTGAAATTTTACTAATTTTTGTTTCCTGGATAAACTTCATTTATCGTAGGATAAATCCGAGCATTCTTTAAATATTGATAAAAATTTATCGAACTCGCGTATGATGTTGATATCAATTGTGGCTAATCTATTTAATTCTTGCTTGAACAAGTACACCTGTATCTCAGAATACGATTTTCAGAAACTCTTATCATGATATATATATATAAAGAGAGAGTTCCATCTCGTTATTACATCTTGTTCAAGGGCGAAGCTTAGTTTGCTATTAACTGTAGATTATTTGAAATATTGTATTTTTTTTGCACCATTTATATTTAAGACTATTTCTATATATATGGCATATACATGCTAATCTTTCGTCATCTTTGAATGTACTTATAAGATTTTCTCATTTATCACCACAACTATACATTTATTTAAATAATTTTCTACTTCTGTGTATTCTTTTAAAATTAAATTGACTACACTTTTAATATTGATGCCTGTTTTTTTTCATCCATTTCCCTTGTGGCCAAAGTAAATGATTTTAATTCAAAATCCTTAATGATAATAAGTCTTTTAATGGTTAAAAAAACTTCTAATAGTCATTCGTCCAAAAATCAATTGTTATGGACAAGTAATTATTTTGATCATGCTTTTAATACATAATATATTTTTGGAGCTATAGTAGTCATGAGAGTTTTTCGGCTCACAAGTATATCTTTTATATAATGTTGTCCATATTGAACATCAACATTTATTAACTCTTGGCCTAGCTTGAAAAATCCTTCCCTTTCTATTGCATTTAAAGGTCGAAGATCTTTACAAATAAAATATAATTGACTGTTTAAGCAAAATTTAGCAAAAAAATCTCACTGCAAAACACCTAAGCTTAAAAAGAAAGTTACATATTTTTTAAAATGTGGAAGATTTTTTGTTTTCAAAAATTATTCTTTTTCAAAAAAATAATTAAATTAAATTAGAAAATCTATATTATATTTATAAAATTTTTTTTTTTTTTAAAAAAAAAAATCCTGTTATTTATTTAAAAAAAATTATAATTTATAATTATATAATTAAAAATAAAATTCTATAATTGAGTCCCCAAAAAGAAACCATAATTGTGTCTAAAAATTTCTATTTGAATTTTTTGTCGAATAAAAAGGAATTCTCTGGGTTCATTTGTGAAAAGTACCCAGATTTTTAAATACATAAATGTTGAAGGTGAAAAATGCCCGTTAGCAGAAGTCACTACTGAAGTGAATATGAAGTTTTTAAAATTTTTGTATTTGTTTGTCTTTAAGAGTTTTATTTTTAATTATATAATTATAAATTTATAAATTGAAAAATTATATTTATAAAAAAAACAATTTTAAAAATTAAAATTTTCGTGATTCACGGAAAATCTATGTTAACGTCCGATAATAATTTTTGGGAGTACCAGTTATGCCTAATAATTTAAAATTTATTCACACTCATCCAGTGACCCACCGTGACACTATGGACACCAGTGGCGTAGCTACGGGGGTGGTTTTCGGGTTTGGACCCTTCCCAGAGCTAAATCTTTTTTCTAGATTATACGTTCAAAAGACTTAAAAGTGACTTTATATCAAAAATATGCCATTAGTATTTATATTTTTCTGGTTTTGCTGTTTGTAGAAGGATTCTATATTACTATTGAAATTATTCTGGATAGTACTATTATAAAGTCATTGAGAATAATCTACTAAATTATAATAACATATTATTGATGCATTTAAAAAATATATATTATATATTATAGAAAATATGGTTATGATTTGTAAGATTAACCCGGCCGAAGGCCGGGTGAAAGGGCCGAAGGCCCGTTAAAGGGGGTCTGGGGGACGAAGCCCCCCAGGCTTTTATATGTATGGACCCCCTCTAAGAAAAATTCCTAGCTACGCCACTGATGGACAGGTAATTTCATGGCCCGCGCCCACCTCTAATGGTAATCAATCCTTTCATATATTTTATAAATAATTAATTATCAATACTCTACTACAAATTATCAAAAACTAATTGAAGCATGAATATGAGCATGCTGATAGAATATCTAACCCTTTATTAGTTTTAGAAATATAGCAGAAAAATATCCAGAAATAGTTTTAATTAATAATGACTATAATTATATACAATATATAAACTTATGTTTATCATATATATCAATAGGTGAAATTAAGAAAGAAATATACTTTGTCATATTTCAACTAAATATTTTATTAATAACCTCCCCCTCCCTCCATTTAATTTACTCCACCTCTTGCCTACCCCCTAGCCTACCTCTCTTAGATTGATGCTCCCTCACCCTCTCAAAATATTTTGTGTCAAAATGTTCTCCCCCCCCCCCCCCCCTCATGTAGACACTGGGATAAGGAAAATAAAATCGAAAAATATTTCAAACTATTTCTCGGAGCTTTAAGGTTATATTTATTTAGATATGAGCCAAGACCTATAATTTTAATGCTAAGAGGGGTTAGTTTATAATATTATATAAGGCCTAATGATTACTGTGTTACCGTTTGTGACTTAAATATAGTGTTGCTAGAATATACTAGCAAACGTCTAACGACTGAATTACTCAGACTATTTAAGCTAATTAATTTTTATTTTTCTCTTTTATAAAAGAACAAATATCTTTCTCCATTTAAAATAAGTATGGTATAGCACAGGCTTAATAAATTATTGCCTAACATCTATTTGTGATATTTATAATATTTGGTTGTCATGAGCTCGATTGGGACAGGCGTAAATTATTTATACATTGTTTAAACCTATAATATTTTATAAGTACGATCTTTCTGCATCTCAATTTTCTCCTGATGGTAGGATATTTCAAGTGGAATATGCTTTAAAAGCTGTGGAAAATAGCAGGTATTTTACTTCTAATTTAAATTATTTATTGAACTTATAATTTATTTTAATTAAAAATTATACCTTTAATATAAATATTAATTTTGGTATATATTATTTTTTTGTTTCTATTTGTCTAATTAAATTACAATTTAAATATTAATTTTTTCCCTCATTTTATAAATTATAAAGCACTGCTATAGGTATACGTGTAAAGGATGGTATCATTTTAGGAGTTGAAAAACCTCTTCTTTCTAAATTGTATGAAGATTCATCTAATTCAAGACTTTTTAACATTGATATTCATATAGGAATGGTAACTTTTAAATTACTTATAAAATATTAGTATATATTTTAAATCTTATAATGTCTTTTGAATGTTTTAAATCCTATTAAATAATATTGCAAAGGTTGTTGCTGGTCTTTTAGCAGATGCCAATATGATTGTAGAAGTTGCACGAGATGAAGCTCTGAATCACAGACGTAAACTTGGGTCTGCAATTCCTTTGAAAGTGTGATTAGTTTATTCTTATTCTTAATTTTTGCCCATTTTATTTAAATAAATAATTACATTTAAAAATAATTTTTTCTAAAAAAATTGATATATTTAATTTTTTGTTTAACATAATTTACATTAAAAAATATTTTTAAAAATGCATTACAGTATTTAGTTAAACGACTCTCAATGTATTTTCATGCTTACACTCTATATAGTGCTGTTAGACCATTTGCATGTAGTGTTATATTAGGAAGTTCTACAGATGAGAGTGGTCCTGAATTGTATATGATTGAGCCTTCAGGAGTATCTTTAGTAAAATATTTTACAATTTTTTAAATAACTTTAGTGTTAAATCCTAATTTTAAACTAGGGGACTGTAGATCCCAAACCTATCTAACAATTTCCCTAAGTCAGACTAGATGAAGTTGTTATATTTAAATTGTGATTTTTGGGCCATATTAGATGGATTAATAAATTTTGATTTGTGTAAAAAAATTAGCTCATAAATATTATCTTTTCATTTTTCAAAATCAAACTTATAGGCACTTTCTTTATTTTACATCCATTTTATTAAGTAATCATGTTAAACTTGTTTTTGTAAACTTAGATAGGGGATTGAACCTAATTTTTTTTAAAATGATAATTTGTTGACTGGCCTGGTTAGACCCTGTCAGAAAATTTTTGGGTGGATTTGTTTAATTGAATCCTGGAATAAAAGTCTGGGAAATAACTGTTTTTTTTTTGTGGAATTAAAAAATATGTAAAATCATTATTAAACACTATTCAAATGGTAAATGTATATTTTTATATAGATTTATTCATTCAATGAAAGATAAAAGGACTAAATTTCAAGTTGACAGGGGTTTTCCTTAGTTTTTTTGGTTGGTTTTTTTTGTCAGGTTTTTTTCCAATTACCGCTTAATTAGAGCATGTCTGATAAATTTTTTTATTTGAGCAAAACTTTATTTTACACTGGATGAAATTAAAATTAGCCCCCCCCCCCTCCCTTTTTCATAATCTAGAAGTGCCAATATTTTTTTTAAGTTTTAAAATTGTATTTATATAATTTGATAAATCAAGGGCTATTTTTCATGTGCAATTGGCAAAGCTAAACAGGCAGCTAAAACGGAATTCGAAAAGCTCAAGGTATTGTTATTTCTTTACATATTTTTCTTAATCTAAAATGTCTTAAATAAGAACAAAGATTTATTGATGAAAGATAGTGTCAAAGAATTATCAAAGATGTAAGTTGTAAATAAGCTAATATGTAATGTTGAAACTTATTTATTTAATTTAAAAAAACAGATTGATGACCATTCACGATGAAGCTAAAGATAAAGATAATTTCATTTTGGAAATGGGATGGGCAGGAAAAGGTTAGAAATTTTTATTATGTTTATACACAGATTGATTATTTATCCACATATTTTTCACCAATCCGATATTTTCTGATATTGGTTCAAAGATCCAATATTTATACTGATTTTTCACAACCCCCCTTTGAACCAAATGTAATTAAAAAATCAATATTTTTATGCAAAAAATCGAATTATGCATTATATTTAATTTTTTTATTTCTTAAAATTAAGACTAGAATTAAAAAAAAATAATATTATAATAGATAAAAAATATATATTTAATAATATATCAATTTATGTTGGTATGAATTATAAAATTGTAATATTTAATATATAAAATTATAATATATTAGATTTTTTAAAATAAATAATTTCTCCTCATGAAATTAAAATTCCGCAGAACGCATTTTGCAAAATTATCTATGTCTTTTGTAAAATATTTCCATAATTCAATACCATATTTAAAAAAAATTCTTTTATTTAAAGTATAAATAATAAAATTGGCGTTGTTATTTAAAAAGATTTAAAATAAATAAAACTCTGGGTGTTCCTTTTTATTTTTATAAAAAAACTTTAAAAATACTATAAATCTATATTAAAAAAATAAATAAAATTTAGGAGGTGTTGTGCATTAGCATTGTTTTAAAAAAAATTATTTAGAATATAATAATAATGAAAATAAATATACATAACATAAAATAACAAAAATTATAATAATGTAAAATAAATATACACAAAATAAAATAACAAAAAAAGATCGGATCGGGGTTTTACAGGATCGGCCCGATCCGATATTTTTGGAAAACGCTAAATATCGGTGCAGATCCTATATTTAATTTCGGCACAGCCCTAATTATTTATAATGACAAATAAATAGTCAAATATTTGTGCATTAGACTTACAACTTTGAATATTTGAAAATTAAAAAATGAATTATTAAAATAATAAATGTGCAAGTAATGTTTATAGATATAAAAGGAGTAGAACATGCTGAATATTTATGAATAATTTTATAAATGGGGAAATCAAGTTTAAAAACTACTTAGCAATGATAATGATTTCATCTTATATTCTGAATTTCATAACCCTAAATGCAATGATCAAACTTTTTTGTTGTAAACGATTCATTTAAAAATTATTCCTGGTAAAAGGAATTTTGTCAAGCTAAATTTTTTAACAGAAGTTTAATATTATTATTATTTTTTATTAATTTAAAGAAACCAAGGGTCTTCATCACACAGTTCCAGAGGATATTTATCACAATGCTTTAACTTATGCAAAAGTAAGTTATTTAATAATACTATAATTTATTGTGCATGTTTATTTTAAACAAAAACTTCAAAAGGAATCATTACGCGACACAGACGACGAAGAAGAAATGGCATAATTTTATTACATTATAGATATTAAGGTCGCATTATTACATTTTTATAAAAACGTTTATCCATATTGTAATATCCATTTTAATTTTCTGTCTCAAAATAAAGAAACAAGAAATTTGAATTTCCCTATTTCTTTCTCCTTGATGTGGTTTGGATTGGAATGACTACAATACTGCCATTTTTCATATTAGATGAATACATTTTGACTAAAGAGTCTCAGCATCCCGATTAAGACATGACAGTTCCACTACCGGAACGATTTTATAAATGCTCACTTCATAGGCATATTCCAGAATTTAAGTAAGGGTGGGACTTTTGTGGGGCTTTTTTGCCATCAATTTTATATGATAGTTTTAGGTCCCTTCTTTGAAAGACCTTTGGTTATATTATATAATTTTTTTCTCAAAATTTATTATAACCATTATCTTAAAGAAATTATTAACTTTTTTTTATATCATTTTTTTTTGAAAATATTGCTTTGACATATTTTACTCATTTTTAAGGGAAATCGGGGGAGAGTAGAAGGAATTATATTTGTCAGTTTAAGATAATATTTACGAAAACAAGTCTTTTTGCTAAGGGAAGATAAATATTTTATTAAATGCTAATTATCATACTTCAAATTCATGATGAAAATTTTCACGCAATATGATATTTTTATTCATGATTAATAAAGTGAACTCGAAATTTTTTTCACTTATTTACTCATCGAAGAAAAAATTTAAAAAGGAAATAATGACTAATTTTTTTAAGGAGAACTTATTGGAGGGGGGAGGGCAAGTAATAGATTTTATTAAGATCTTTAGCACACATTGGTAATATAAATAATCTTGTATATTGATGTTGAAATTTATCATTATTTTTGTTCATGCTATTTGTATTTTTTAAATTATATGATACAGAAAATCAAAGTAAGGTGGCAGCCAAGATCCTTTAATTAAAGTTTTTAATGGATTATAAAAAAAAATTTTTTTTAGATGATAGGCTGCATTTAATTTTTTTAATAATACCCATCAGTACATACTAATGATAAGAAATATTACTAAAATATTAAAATAAAAAACGAAATAAAAAATATAATATTTTCAATGGAAGTAAAATAAGTATATCATTCTTAATGCAATTGTGTGCTTGATCCAATAATAATATATCGTTGAACAGGACTAGATAGACTTACATCTACCGAACAAGGTTTGACCTTGAAAATGGAGTAAAAGAGTGAGACAAAACGAGTATAATCTTTTTATATTGCTTAATCTAAAATTATGAATGGTAATCGTATTTAAAATTTATTTCTGATTTATTTTTATGTACTTGCGTTTAGTAGTCTAACATATAATCGTGCATTTCCAAAATAGGAAAAGCAGAATTATAATTTATCACTGTATGTATGTCTTATTTCACATATCAGTCATAGATTAAAATTTATAAATAATATAAAATTAATGTTATAAGAATCTATTAAACGTTTTCTTTTTACATGCATTTGTACAATTGGAAAGAAAGTAATTTACAAAAGTTGTGCCTAAGGTTGAATTTCCTCCAAAGTTGTCTTTAGGGAATCCACTTAATTCGATTACTTTAAATAATTTTCTTTCTACTGACATCATTAGAAACTTATAGATAATCCTGTCCAATATATGCTCGCAGTCTATTTTTAATTTGCTGAAAGTTCTTTCGCAACGCACTTGTGAAAAATAAAGTGAGAAGATATTCGTATAATATCTCTTATCTAAATGACGTGTCGACTGACTACACTACCGTCATCTTATCGCTCTACTCTTGTGTCTTATTATCCTTTCAAACCCTATCAACTACCTTCTACTTTTAGATTTTGGCCTTATAAACCGACACAAATATCAAGCATTGAGGCTCCATCCCCTTCATACATTCATTTACTCCACTACACGGAGTGTTAACAGTGTTAGACTGTTCGTGAGATAATAAATATAATTAAAAAATTACAAGGCTTATGGCCAGGATGTTATACATAGTGAGTTTCCAAACACCGATCCATTGTTGTATGGGGAGATTTTTTCCCCTATTATGGCAAGAAGGGATATGTTTATTAGATTGGCTAGCGGGCATCCTAATTAACTTCACAAAAAATAAAGACCCCAAATATCTTGAAGACTGGAGGGGGATCTCAATAAATTCGGTGGTTTATAAGATATTCACACAAATCATTCTAAAGCCAATAGTGAACCAGACTTTGCGGACTCATTGGTGTTCAGGAAAATCCATAATACATCATCAAGCATTATCCAAACTGTTAACTGCATAATTTGTTATTACCAAGATCCTTCCCTTCTTCAATTTGGGGACCAAACTATCTTTTGCTAAAGACAATCAAAGGTTCATTTTTATTTTGTTTAGGTCTTAATTATATAACTGAATTTAAAGTAACTGCAAACTCGATCTTCATATTTGGTACATTGATAACGGTATAATGTGTTTCACCTTTGGCGATTGCTAAGGTTTGCAGAATAATAAAAAATGTAGGAGTCTATTGGTCTGCGGTTAAATACAAACAAAACCGAATTATACCCTGGGCGTTGAAAATAATTATAGTCAAGAATAAAATAAGATGAAATCTCCCTATCGGTGGCGCGGGAGCGATCCTACAATATTTTTAAAAATCAGTAACTAGTCGAGGAACTCCTATATTCTCTTCGAGCTAATATTGTTAAAAAAGCCCGATTTAGGTCGATTTTTCAAAACGGCCCGATTAAGATTCTAGTAGTTAAAATAATAATATGTAAGCATCGAGATTTTGCCATTAGATGTCCAAGCATTTCTGCCAGCTATGAGAGAAATCTTTAGGCTTGCATAAAGTTTATTACTTCCTGCTCATAAGGTATTCCTAATAAAAAACTTTTTCAATATTGTCAAAATTTTTTATGCCTTAAGATACACTGCTATCTTTAAATTTACTAAAAAATTCAAAACTTAAGGCCTAAATATAAAAGAAATAAAAAAAATTGCCAATCTTGGTTTTAATGACCTCTCATAGCTCAAACCACTTTCAATGGAAGAATATGAATTCCATCTCCAATCGCTTTAACAATTAGCGATTTATCTCTTCTATGCTTGCGAGTACCTTTCCTCTGATTCTTTTTCAACAGGCTATTTACTAGATAAGACGATCTCCTGCCGAGCGAAACACAAACACACCTGACACTCCTCTTCCCACTTCTACCAAGCAGAATTGGGATGCTCCCATGATTGTAAGTACCGTTGATTATCTTTACACCAACTTAGAATATGTCGTTCATTTTTTTCTACTTTAAACACGTTTTAGGTCATATTTTTGGAGGCAATTCCTTCTAAAATCCTGGGACTTGCGCACAACTATTAGGAATTCAGTTTTTTTAAAATAATACTTATAGCTTATTTTTAACTCACTTTTTTTAAATTATCGATTTGGACAGGGCGGACTGCTTACCTCAATGCACACTGAACTTTACAGATACTTAACCAATCATTCACCAAACTAAAAAATGTTATTTTAACAATTTTGTTGCATATAGAGTCATTTTATATTAATATTTCTTCATATCAAAATTCGAAATTTATATAGGATTGAAATTATAATGAATAATTAAATAGACGTGGAGATTTTATCACTAATTTGATTTTTTAAATTCTTATAAAGACATAAATAATTTGATTGCATTGAGCCCTTTTGTGATAAGTTTAGTATTTCTTGACTCTCCATATATTGTGGCAAAAAGGTGGAATTTTTAAAATATGAACTTGATGGTATTTGTACCGGATTTTCAAACATAAAACTATTATTTGCCATATTAATATTATAATTATGCAGATCATATTCTAAGGGGTATGGGTGATTGTGATGCGTAGGATACGGATTAAAAAGATAGTTGTTATTGAAATTGAACTCGTTGAATATCGAACTGGGATTGTGGTAAACTGGATCGAAGGGATAATATATATGATTCTCATGTTGAGTTTCTAATATTCGATATTGATTATATGAATTGATATCCGTATTGTATATATCGCACGATATATTTTTTGATGATTGTGCTAACAACGCGCTTGAATTATTTGTCGGCGCACTGGAACCATCGTTCAATTTAATTTTTTTGGTACCAGGAGGACGTCCTCTTCCCTTTTTGATTATTTGTATAGAGTCATTTTCAAAGAATTCAGCTTTTTTTATCTTAAATTCTGTGTTATTCGTATTAAGAAGGGAGAAGTTACTACTACTATTATAACTATTAATGTTATTATGCTTTGTCTCATGATGTTTTAGCAATGAATCGTATTTAAATACATCGTTCTGAAAGAATACTTTTTTCTTATCTTCTCTGCCGTTGTTATGAATGCTATTATTTTTATCAATTTTTTCTTTTTTGTGATAAAGTTGTTTTGATTTATGGAATAATGTATTTTGGGATTTATCTTTTTCCCTGCGCATTTTATCATTCCTTAAAATATATACTGAATCTTTGTGACTCGTTTTTTCTAAGGAAGACGAGGAATGCATTCTTTTGTTTTTCCGAATATCATCATTCACGGGATAGAATAAAGTTAAAGGAAATTCCATTTTGCGTTTTCCGTACAAATCCCTTCCTTCCTCTTCTCTTAATAGGGAAAAAACTTTTATATCATGAAATTATACATTAAATATTTTACAATAATGGCTTGTGGGAACATAGTACATAATCCGATGTTCCGTTCTTGTAAATGATTCGGAAACTTGTTTGTATCCATTGCCAATTATTTCCCAACACAGATGATATCCTGTACGCATTTAAACTGGCATTTCCCGATTTCAATACTTTATTATTTGAATAATTAAATATAATTAAAAATGATTAAAATTATTTTAAAATAGAAAATAAATTATATTAACTAAGCATTAAATTGTATTATAATTATACTTAGCCAGTTTAATACTTCGGTTAAAAAAATATAAATGGCTAATTTAGTAAAGGGTGGGGGGGGGGAATAAATACATTAATAGAATAATATTACGTTATTTTTAAAGAAATTATTATATTAAAACAATGTTTATTTAAAAAAATATTTTCTATATTTAATTGTATACCTATCTTTTTTTTTAAATTGAAAATTCCCAACTACTCTGCATTCACAGTTAGCGCGAATTTTCAACGAGATATATTTAAATAATAAGATGTATTTTTTGTCATTTTTAAACAACGTTTTTTACAAAGCATTTTCCTAGGCACGTTTCCAGCAATTTTTTATAAATTTCTTTCCAAACAAAGGATATTTATCGAATAATAATTTTTAAAAACTTGGTAGTTGGACTAATTATCATCCTTTGTTTAGAAATAAATAAAAAATTGTTCGAAACATGCCTAGGAAACCACTTTAAAAAAAAAGTTTGCAAAACCCTTCAAATATAGTTAGCGCGAATTCACAGAGAATTGTACAAATTACACTGTATTTTTGTATTCTTCACCACGATTAATTAGAAGGTTAAGCAAAAAAATTAATTATTATATCGTCTAACTTTTATTCCACGAAATTTTAATTTTTTAGAACTTCCTAAAGTTGAAGATAAAATATGTAAAAATTATTAATTATTTTCTAGAGCTTGTTTGAATCTAAGAATCAAAATTCTCTTAAAACTGCCACGAAACCAGAATCCTCCCCCCCCCCCCCCCGCCTAAAAATTCAAAGATAGGAACTGATATAATTTTTCAACTTTCTTCGTTTGCAAACAATATCTAAGCTCAGGCGCGAATGCAGAAATTTACTATAGAAGGGAGGGAGGGGGGGAGGGTAATTAAAAAACTCAGGAGTTCAAGAACATCTTAAATTTCAGAAATTAATTTGGATTAGTGACTATAAAATATTGGCAATTTCTTATGCTCAAATATAAATAAATGATAAAATATTGAATGTAATATAATCGAAGTATAACTATTAAAATATATGTCTTGAAAAAGAACTTTGCAAAAATTAGAATTTTTTTTAGTATTTAAAAATTGAGATATATATTTAAAAAGATTAGATGTTGGAAATTCAGATTAATCTACAAAAATATTCCTAAGCATTGTTGCATGTATATAAACTTACAAAGTATTCACGGAAAAAATATAGTGTATTAAAAAATAGGAAAAAGTCTAATTAAGAAGCATATTATTAATTTATAATGCAAAATTTAATCTTCTTTGGAATCGAGCTCATTTTTCATTAATTTCATCAATGCTTGACTCCATATTTATTAAGGAGTGCTAACTCACTCAATCTGTTTCCAGAGGTAGTATTTCTCACTTAGAAATCTTTTTTTTCTTGTTAAAGAAGAAATTGCTCTTTCTTTGGCATAAGTACTAAACTAATGAGCAGAGTCCAAAATATATAATAATTTAAATTTATTAGGAAAATAGTCTAAAATATTTAAAATTATGTAAGCCGTCTATAACATTTTTTGGATTATTATCAATCATAGTTAACCTTTAAAAATTAGTCAAATATTTTTTAATTTTTTTTATCAAAATTTAAAATAGATTCGGATGGATTCTATGGTTATAATATGTGCAGAGTTAAGTGCTTCCTGATAAATCAAGAACCTATCAGAGCAATATTGAAGAGGGGGATAAATATGTTTATTTTATAATATTCTTCAGACTCACCCTATATAAATATTGGAAGGATGGGTTTGCGTTGTTGCGAATTCACGTAGACAAACATTTCATATGTTATTGAATCAACAATTAATTATAATTTATGAATTCGGCATCTGCATTTGTCCTAATTTTCTTAAATTCCGATATATTGCTTTAGGCTATTTTCATAGTCTCAATCAAATCGATGACATTTTTTCAAATATATTACATAAAATAATCTAATTAAATAATTTGTTAGTACACTCTAATGAAAAAAAGAAAATTTGGTTGTAGTATAGTGTCCAATAATCCGTCTTCTTCTGAAATAATTCTTTTGTGTTATTTCAGTAAGCGCAATAATTGCCCTCGACTGACGTGGATTTTGATTCTCCTCAATACTGGTAAAATGTTCTTTAAATAAATTATGAATTTTAATATTAATTTTTCATAGAATAAATTAGTAGCGAATTATTTCTGCTGTGAATGTTAGATTGATATATATGTGATAAAAGGTAGGAATGATAACAAAAATGTAAAATGATAATCTTAAAAGAGTAATATTTCTAAAAAAAAATGGCCTGTATCTGAATTTTTTGGAATTGAGGAGGGGGAGGGGGTTCGCCCTCCCCCGCTGCATACACGCTTGTCTAAGCTTATTTGATTTTTTAATTTTTATTCAATCTAATTATTCATTATTCGGTCAACGAATATGAGTAATAAGTTATTTTATTTGTATTTGTACAAAGAATCATTCGAATCATCCGAATAAAAGTATGAAATGCATCTTATTATTTGAATATTTTTTACGAGGCCTTTTAGAAATTAAAAATCATAAAAGATAATAATATTATAAAAATTTATTTTTAGCAGAAGAATTTATGTAAACCTAAAAAACAACAACATTTGCAATATTTACAGAAAACATAAAAATAAAAATGTATAAATAGGTTTAATTGTAAAAAACTAAAAGAAATCCTTAAAAATAATTAATTTACGTAAACATTTAAATCCCTAAGTGGCGTAATATAAAATTAGATTAAAATAATAAATTTAAATAGCTGGTAATAAATGTAATCTTATGGAATAAAGATTCAATAAGAGAACAATCTATTTTGTTATGATAAAAATGGAGGGGGGGGGGTAGATTTTAATATAAATGCAAAACTAGAAGCAACACATATACCATTTCTTAAAAGGGAATAAGGCGATATCTTACGCACGCTGGCCAAAATACAATTTTCTAAAAAAAGATGATGTAAGATGTCACTTTTTGACAAGAGTTAAATATGAATGGTGTAACATATTTTTGTTTTGCTAGAAATAATAATTGTTTTAAATATATTCATAAGCTATTAATATAAGTTGTATAAATATAAACATGACTATATAATTTATATTAAATAAAATAATAGGTTCATCCAATATTACCGGGTTAAATTATCAGACAATATACTATGGGCTGAAACTATCCCCTATATACTATTTTATATAAAAATAATAGAAACTCACATTCCTGATGTGCCAATGTAACGTAGTTTAAATCTTCTGGATGAATTAACGAGTAAAAATTGAGTCCATTAGAATCGATATCATTTAACCCCATTAAGCTCTTGCCCCTATTAATTATGGTGAATTATATATAGATATTTTATTTCAATTACCAAAAAATACATTACCTTTGTTCAATCGATATCAGTTTTAAATCGAGTTTATGTTTCGTTTTAAAGTTTATATCTTTGGAGCACATTATCGAATCGACTATTTGGTATTCTGTGCCATTACTAGGCGTGCACAAAGTGAACAACCCCCAGACACAATTATTATGAGCGTTTGTCTTCGAGGCATTTGCGTCGTTTAAATTATTGTTATATGCCGCTTTCATTTTTCGTAGATTTCGGAAATTTATAACGGGCTCATAGTAATCTTCCTTTGTAGATTCTAAAGAATCCACGGTTGTTCCTTGTCTAATGCCATGCAATTTTCTCAATCTTCCCCTCAAATCAAGTCTCTTATTTATTTTTTTTGATTTAATTCTTATTTATAATTATAAATATTATATATATTTACATTTTTGATTGTTTAAATATTTCGAGATTCACTTCTGAATCTTAGGTTCGTGTCAACGCGTGAAGTGCTTCTAAACAGCAGTCAGTTTAGACGTCTATACATGGCCGTAGCCAGACATTTTCAACTGGGGGGGGGGAATTGTTTACTTAGGCGCCAATATTTTTTTTGGATGAAACGAATAGTTAGGCACTTATATCAATTTTTGCTATTTTTATTAAAATTTGTAAAAGAGGATTTTAAATTTTAACATAAATAAATTAAAAGCTAAATTCGGTGTTATTTTTATGCCTTCTGCAGAAAGAATGTTCAGGTTTTCATAAAGAAGCCATTTTGATTTACCTCATCTTTGTTTTATTTGTATGTATACCGAAAAAGCATATAAATAACAAACTTAAATACAAACCAAAATAGGGTGTCATTGCACAAAAACTGAATAGCCTAGGCTAAAAATTTTTAAAATAATCCGAGCGTTGAGGGCAGCCTTATAATGTACAAGAATGTTTCACGCTTTTAACGCTTTAAGTTTCTTATACCCAAGAAACGTTACAAAAGAGTTTTATCAAAATAACAATTTTTTACCACAAATCCTGAAGTATTATCCAGTAAGCAACGGAATCTGATTGACAATATTCTTTCGAAATTTTCTTCAATAATTTCCTTTGTTTCTTTATTTAATAATTTAAAATTTTTTGTTAGTTTTTTTAAAACAAATTTATGAAATATTTGTCCATTTTTTTTTAAAAAAATGTTAATTTTCATTAAAATCTTCTAATGGTTGAGTGCAAATTTTTAATTCATAAAATATAATTCTATCATTAAAAGACTAAATGAGACCGATATCTTCATATAGAATATTAGGACCTCAGAATAGGTGCAATTTACAATTTACCACTAAACCCTCCCGATAAAATAATATGAGTGAGCCTAACTCCCATATCAATTTTACATATAGATATGTGGGGAGTGTCCTTTTAGGGCTATCCCGCCTTAAGGAACCAACGGGAGTCAAGATCATAAAACCAAAATGGAAATTTGAACCTAAAAAATATTCTAAAAAGAGTCTTATCCATGCTTTGTCGCCTTATTATTGGAGTGTTCTAATAGATATCTTTGAAAATACTGGGTTAGCTTATTCATATGTGGTGTTATGGCACAAACCAAAATTTAGATAAGAATATTAAGTTCTGGGCAGTGTTATATCTAATTATACTTTGCTTATTTATACATAAATTAAACCTTTTTTTTAATATTAGTGTTTTTTATTTAATTATTCAATCATTATTATTTGCCAAAGGCGTTTAGAAAATGCTTAATAATAACAGCTAAAAATAATCTATGCATCTTAATTTTTAGTAAATCTTACTCTTTTTATTCTAAATTTTTAAAAAAATAATTCAGATTATTGGATACCTAACTGAGATAACGAAACCTGCAGATTCGGTAGAGCATAAATTAACTAAAAACCGATTATTATAGAAAACATAACTCAAAAAAACATAATGAACCCTCACAAGACCCAGAACATCTGATTGACATGACATCGATGGTGGAGACAGAAGCGCAGAAAAAGCGATATTCCTCTCGAATAAGAGAGATATCATGGTTAGATGGTAAAAAGGTGTTGTGTTTAAAAATATGATTTTTAAATATAAATTGTTTGGATAAAATTAATTGTTTATATTATTATTATTTTATTTTTTATGGCTCACATTATAGTTAATTGATTATTTAAAAAATATATAGTGAGTAGTAATTGAATAAAGGTTAGTTGTGGTTCGAGATATCTATTTATACGGTTATCTCAATATAGACAACAACGCATATGGAGCGCTCTAACAATCGAACGACGAGATATTTATTAAATGATTATTATTTCCAAACACTAACCTTTAAATCGATTTATATTAAGCTGATGAGCGGCGTTCAGATGTTTTTTTAAGACTTCCCTATCTTCAGAATGAATTAATTCGTATATTGATTGATGAAGAATATCTGACTAATTTAATTTATAATTTGTATATTTTAAATAACTAAATTTAATACAAATAGAAAAGCAGAAAAAATTATATTATATAATAATATTACTTGATGAAATCCCAAAAAATTTTCGACAATATCGGACACGTAAAATATATCACCACGACAATTTAATACTAGTATGAAACCATTCATCGCCTTAATTTAAAAAAGATTAATTGTTATAGTTTTAAACCTTTCAATATAACGCTTTACAGAATCCAATGGGACGGAAGCCCCCTTCCTGATAATATACCCCCCCCCCCCTAATTCTCATGATAATGAGACGTATACCTTTCATTTTAACAATATATTTATTTTTAATTTGGTACTATATCCCTACATTTATAAAGAACATCCTACAACAACAGTATCCGAGAAAATTAATTAGCATAAAAACAATTTAAAATAGCAAGGGCATGCAGATGTACCACTTGCACTTGATTAAAAAAAAATATTTTTCGGCCCAGCCTGTATTTTTTTTGAAAAACATTTATCGGCTCGGCCTGGATTTTTAAAAAATATATTTCATTTATTTTTATAGCTAATAATGGGCGATTTAAAATATTCGATTTTAAAATATACAACCCGGCCCGGATATTAAAAAATTTTTTTTAGGCCCTGCCCGGGTATATTTAAAAAATTAAAATACGGCTCGGCCCGTGTACCTGGGCCTGCAGGTATCTGTAAAATAGTTTAACTTTTTTTTGATTTGTCTTGCTCAAAAATAAAACGTTTTACTAAAATAGACAAAATATGCCTTTTTTTTCTTCTTTATCACGCTTAATTATTATATATAAAAAATAATAAAAATGACTTAAAATTGGGAATTCGCATTTCACATATATAATATGGACATTTATAAAATATTATTCAGTCATGCTACATTTTTCAAAAATTGGTTAAGTTTTATTTGATCAAACTTAATCAAAAAAAAAATATTTATTAGGGCAGGGTGTATATAAAATCATAATAATTGCTATTACTATGCCAAAAAACAAAAAATCTTTATATTACTTGATTTAATAAATCTTTTTCGGTCTCCATAGTATTATTTAAAAACAATCCCATATTTTCCTTATAACCGCTGTAAAGTTCGTAGTTATTGTATAGTTTAGTATTATTGTGTTTGAGCGCTTGATTTATCTGGACACCTAGAAAATGATGGAAGATGGAGTTTTTAGTCAATCGAAGTTGTAATAGGTTATTGGAACTTAGTTGATAATTATCTCTACTTTTTAACAATTAAAATCATATAACTAACTAGTATAAAATATGTTCCTAAAGTTTAAGTGATTTCATGTATATGTATCCACAAACCCGGGTCTAATTTTTAATAAGCCATTCATAGCGCACGCTTTAAAAATATTGAACGGGCCTGATGATGCAAGAATTTTTCAATATATGTACAGTATGTCCAGAGGAAGGCGCCGACCCCAATTGGCTCGTGAAGATTTTTAGAAGGCAATATTAGCCAGGCCCGGCCCCTTAAATATTTATGTAGAAGTTTTCCAGCCCGGCGCATGATAATTTATTTTATGAAGAAAGGAAGATATACATTTGCCTAATTCTATTCTAAGGCATAAAAAAGAAATTTTGCACCGGTCTCATATAATTTTTTTTATTAGAATTTGACCCGTCCGAAAAATATTATTTCCCAAGTTATCCGACCCGAAAATCTTTTTATCCAGGCCTGGACCTAGGAATTTCAGGAATTCATCTTATTAATTAATATGCAAAAATCTATGGCAATATAGCTGGCAAAATCAGATCTTTCAAAATTAAAAAAAAAGGAGCGACAATGAATGATTAAAAATTTTGCGCCAAATGAAATTATAGCCATGAATCTACTAAATCATACTTATATAAGAACCTTACTAATTATTAAGCAATGCTAACTAGTACATATTTTAGAAAGGAGGAGGTCTTATTTTCATAATATATTATATTTTTACTCTCTATTATTACCTAAAATAATTGTGCATAGTGGAACTTATTAATGACCTAATAAATCCTATAATAAAAGCTCTTTTGCCCCAGTCTTTAAGATACAATGTATTTATATTGGGACCAATGTCATAATACCAAGCCTGGCAAATTTACTCATTTAAATGAGTATCAATACAAATCTACTGGTAGACACGTCATTTTGAAATCTCGTAATAAATAATTTACTTTTATTTAAGAAAACTTAATCCTTTTTTTATAGAAAAAATAGTTTTATTTTATAATAAACTAAATTAAATTATATTGGAAACAAAATTAAAATGGCATGTCACCAGCTGATTTATATTTTAATGAATTATTTTCAGTCTAGGTAAATATCATATGTTATTGATTGGGACTTATTATTTTGCTATTGTATAACTATTAAAATTTAAAAGGGTATCTTTAAATTTTGCATAACAGTCGGCGACGTTAATAACAATGAAGGAGAATTACATTATATTAATTTGCGGAATGTATCATAATACCAGAAAATAAATACCTGAAATTAATTTATCAAATTAAAAAATGAATCTATAAAATATAAATCTAGAGCCTTGCATCAAAATTTATTTTGATAAATCCGGTCCAAAAGTTTTTATAGGTCGACAAATCTGTCCGAATCTTTTTCCACTGCTTAAAAATCGAAATGCTAAAATTCGGATTCCGTTCAGCCTAAGATAATGAATAAATAAAATTAGTAACAGTGCAAATCACAAAATAGCGATTCAGCTAGTTCTTATATATGGACACTTTTAATTAACGAATCGCTAACCTAGTAAGTAGTATAAATATACATTATTTTCTTATACACGGCTTTATTATAATCCCTTTATAAATATCTACTACGTTTTTTTTCATGTAAATATAGTTATTGCTATTTTAAAATATGTTCTTGATAAAAGCATTGGTTACACTACATTTTTCTTTACTTCATACAAACATTTTTAAAATTCTACTACCGGCTGGTAGATTTTATTTTACCGATAAAATGCTGTATAAGGTTTATTATATTATATCTGTATTCAGAAGAAGAAGAATTAAAAAATAGTAAATCAAAGTAAATATTATCGAATAGAAATAATAAAACACCATGAAAATATGCCTTGATCCTGATGTAACTAACAGCTAATCGTAAAATTGACAATTTATCTAATTTGGATATGATGGTTGTATCGAAGGGTAGAATAATTGACAGTCGATCCAATTCGGTGTTTAATCTTTCCCGGTGGCGTTTACTTGGATTTGTGCTATTTGATTTTGCTATTGTAGAAAGCGAATATATAGGAGGTATATAGTTGCTAGGATGTTCCTTATTAAATTTCATTTATTTCTGCGAGTTAAGGAAGGGGGGGGGGGTCAAAAATACATAGAAATTTATTATATTGTATGCTGAAAATAATCAATTATATATGATCATTGGGTAATTATTACTTTCTAATCCTGATTTTATAAAATACTTAATATCTTAAACTATAATATTTTTTTATAATATAAATTAGGGTTTTTAATATATTTCAATTTTCTAAAAAAATAAGGATAGGACATAGTTACACGGTAAGACATAGAGGATATAGTTGCGGGGTATTAGAACCCCATTTTTAAAAATTATACTTCAGTAATGAAATAATATTAAAATCTAAAATTTTATGACCTAATAATTTAGTCCGACTTCTATTAATGAGTAAAAAAAATTTTTTTATATTTCTAATTTAAATATATTTATAAAAAAAATAATGATTCCATATAGCATCTATGGGCGTCTAAGTACAAAAATTATATTCTTAAGAATATAAAAATGCTAGCTTATAAATTTTGTCAGATTCTATGTGTAATCCATTAGCAATAGAAGGTATATCATAAAAACTAAAAGAAATAGAATGTTTATCATTTGTTCAAAATCGGAACATAAAAATGAGGAAAAGTTAAAACGTAATAAAATATACAAGCAAAAGCTTATATTATTAGCCTGAGAATTAATAAAATAAAATTGAAATTATTATATAATTATATTGTAATGTCAAATTAAATCATTAAGCTTTCTTAGGATGTCAAATTAGCTCGGAGGACTTTAAAGGGTTAAAAGTTATATTTTTATTTATATAAATGGTTCTACGTGCCTCAGTCTGAATATACTGGCTAATTTTGTCTAAAACTCACACATCTGAGAGAATTAGGTTTAAGCTTGGATTTGATATAATGATAATGGTATACTTGAGATAATTATTAAAATTATAGGTGAGAAAAGTTAGAAAATAAATAAAGTTATTTTAGGATATAAAATTAATATAAAATTATAATGAGTTGACATAAGGCAAATAAAAATCTATCAGAGGATTAAAATTTGAGACTGATAATTAGGATCCTTGCTCCTAGATCCAACCAATGTACCTTGGTGTTCCCTACTTATACAGCAGTGATCCCATTTCAATCTCAGCGATAATTTTAGGTCTAACCACCCGCCCCCCCTTCCCGAATAGAATTTCCTATATTCATAAATAATAGTATCTTAAAGAGTTTATATTACAGGAAATTACAAATTTATAAGATAAAAACATATCAAGTAACTGTCCACATAAGTAATAATGGCCAATTATGGGGATGGTTTTGTTACACAAAAATTACACTTATCAACTATATATAATTTCTTGACAAATACACCAAATAGTATTAGTAATACAATCTGGCAGAATGAATAGTATTAGTAATACAATCTGGCAGAATGATTGTATTACAATTGCTAACAAATGGTTTCCTTAACTGTAAAGGTTAATATATATGTTAGCTAGCGTCAATATGTATTTTTCAATCAATGTGTATTTTTTTTTCCTTCAAATCATTTTTTAAGCAGTTTTCTAATTTTAAAATCTTATTTCACCATAAATATACTCGATCTTGGATTTAATATAATTTATATTAGTTTTTATGATAGATCTTTAAATTTTAAATTACTAAATTGTTACAAGCAAAATTGTAGAAAATTTCTGGGACTAATATAAACATGCTTCAAACATCAGTAAAATCAAAAAAACTAAAAAAAAACTCACTCGAGAATGATTAAAAGTTGAAAAAATAACGCATTGCCTGAAAAAACGCTACATAATTATAATTGTGTAATCCAACAGCATTGATAGTGATTTAAAAATTAACCACCATTATAAATATAGAGAATTTTTAGATTGATTAAACTTTTATATATTAACTTGTTAGCATATAGGCCAAACAATTTATTGATAAATTTATGATTCTGCTAAATTAAAATTTAGAATTTTACAAATCTTTAAAGCTTTTATTACCAGATTAGCTACTATCTAACAAAAATGTATGAAATATTGGATTGAATAATCGGACAAAAATATGAAAGCAGAAAGCTTCGTATCCGATTAAAAAAGTAAATTGGGCAGAAAACATCGGACAAAATAAAGTAAACCTGGCAGAAAACATTGAATAGAAAGGCATGCGACATTAAAGTGGCATATTTCTAACGCAATTTTTGGGTCTAACTCTACAGACATCTCTTAGAGGATGATGCTGGATATGATTTTACTCCATTAGCTTAAATTTTTTGCAAGTGTATTATAAACAACTATGAACAATTTATACTTTCATAGATGTGTACGGTGTTAAATCTTTGAACATTTAAACAATCAGATTGACTTATTATTAATTAATGTTTGATTTGACACAATAACATTCACCTACATTAAATAAATTTTTTTTATTTAAAATGAAAAATTAAAGAGTCGACTATCGTTGTGACATTTAAAAATGAAACTTGTAGTATCTAAATATATAAAGAAAAACTTTAACTTCCTCATTTTAAAATCTCTATACAAAAAATTCCCAAGTTTAAATTAAAATATAAAAATTAGGTGAAAAAAAAGTCTTAAAATCCCATATCAAATATTTGGGTAAAGGAAAATTTTTTGTTATCATGTGCTTATAATGGTAATAAATATTACATTATCAGTCAATATTTACAATAAATAAACTTTAAAAAATATTATTAGTTTATATCCACTAAAAAAATAATTTTAAATGAGATGACCAATCTTGTTTTTTATGGTAACTTACAATTATAGCTTAGTACGTTATTTTATTTTGTGCATAATGTACATATTTCTTAATGTCAGATTAAGAGTTTTAACTACCATAATTAGGTTTTCTAGGAATAGTGTATAGAGTATCGGACTAACTCCGGTCTCAAGTCATACCTATTATATAACCTAGGTATTGTAAACTCGGATATAGTAGAGAAATTCTATTTTAGAACTAAAAAGAACAATATATGAATTGATAGCTATAACTATACTCTACAAAGGTGCTTTATAAATATTTATAAAAATATAATCATATTTTTCAAATTTTATTTTTTGCACAAGGTGAAATTTTGCACAATAAGCCCAATAGAAGGGTTAGGCGAACAACTGCAAAGGCAACCATTAGTTTTTTTTATGCTATAGTATTGAATAGCATTTTTTTTATTAATAATGATACGCCCATAATTTTATCATTTTATTGTTCAAAATATTATAATACTTTTAAATTGAAGCGAATTATATATAAATTTTGAAACTTAATTTTGGTTGATTTAATAAACATTTTGTACATAAAATAAGGATCTTAAGAATATCAATCATATAAGCCATGAAATTTTCTTTCCAAGATTTTGGAATTTTTTTCATTATTAGCTGCCATAATTAGCAAGTCCCGCTAGCTTTAAATTGATTAATCATGATTATATTATCTAGATAAAATAAATGCTATAAAATTTCCCAATCATAAAAGAGGGTTAAAACTTTGTTATAAAATTTAATTTATTTATAAATGATTATATAATTTAATAAAAATTAAAATTCAATCATGTAAAAAAAATCTTTAGAATATTACATTAATATTTTATTTCTTAAATAATTTAATAATTATTTCAATTCGCCAATAGATATCTACTAATAAAAGCTACATTAGGATAAAATTTAAACCTTCTAGTTTATTTAATTTTAAAATGATATTAAGTGGTTTGCCAAGCCCGGGGGTTACCTAACCCCTGTCTCCCCTATATATATACACTACATCATTATATATGTAAAAATTTTAATATTTTAAAAAAAGATCACTTATTAATTTTATTTAAATTTTCTAATCATTAAATCTTATCATTTTTGCTGATTTTTAAATATATCATAAACCACACACCACATCCCCCCCCCCCCCCACTCCCACTCAGATTTAAAAAAGGTTATATAAATTTCATATAATTTTTTCCTAACTTTTTTTCTCATTTTATTATAGTGTTCCTTTTCATATTCGTGATATAATTTGGATAAACCAAAAAAATATATATACATTTCCGTGCATCGAATATCCTTTCTCACGTCTATCAGCTCTGGAGAAAACAGAATTAGTCAATTTTTTTTAAAAATATTATAAATAATGATTAATCATTATCATAATTTTCTGTGAGCGGAAATGTTGATACGAATCTTTATTGTCATAATTTATGAAATCAATGTCGTGGTCGGGTTTCGTGGTTATTAAAATAGTTATTTTTTTTGTCACTTTCTAATAAAATATTAATTTTGTTTGCATGTCTTAAATATTTAATTTTTTTATTTTTTATTTTCAAAAAATTATCGTAATATATAAAAATAATTCAATAATTTTTTTTCTAATATCGTGTATATAATCTATTATTCAGTGACTTGATAAAGGCAGGTTTTCAGATTAAATTAGGTATAATAATATATTAAGAATATTTTTAATTCAACACGAAATGTTAGAACCTCGTATAAAGAATTATTTTAAAAATATTATTTTTATTTTGCAGGAGGAATATAATGCACGAATGTAATTTTAATTTCGGAAAAAGTATATATAACATCTTTAAAAATATTAAATTTATTATTTTGTTCATTTTTTTTTCAAAAAAATTTGTTTTTGAAAGTCAAAAATTTTTTTTATTTTTAATTTAAAATATAAAATTTCTCAAAATAAAAATAACCTTTTTTAAAAAAATAAAATTTTAAATTTATATTTTTTAAAAATAACACAAAAACATAAAATGCTTATTAAATTTTTTTAAAAATAAAATAATATTATATAAAAATGTGTTTAAAAAATATATCATATGAAGATGACAATTATATTCTATCAAATCAAATTATAAAAAAGTGATATATTTTTACAATAATTATTTTTTTCCCCTCATTTGTGTCAATTTTAAGATGGACGTTTTTTTCGTGATTTTTTTTATAATCAAACATTGTGGATAAGAGCGTTTTGTCGTAAATAGAAAAAAAAACTCATCCCTGTTTAAATTTAATCGAGGTTGGTCGATTCGAAATTTTGAGATTTTTGTAAATTATATTATCGTCTTCCTTTAAATTTTATTAATTTCTAAATATTCCATTTTAGAAGTCAAGTTATTTTTTCTTTACATTTTATACAATATTAAATTCAATTTTTATAAAAATTTAAGCAACTAGTAAATGATTTTTTAATACCCTCCCTATTATTATTCTTACCTGGGTTACAAAAACTAAATTCTTAAAAAACTGGTCGTACAGCGTGCAAAATGAATGAATAAAATAAACGAATCTAACTAATCATCCTCGATTCCAACCAGGAGATCATGATTATGCCAAAGTAATTATACAAAATTATGACTGATATCACAGGTAGGCCTTCCATATTCTATAAGCTATTTCACGATATTTTTAAAGACTGTTAAAAAGCAGGACTACATGGGGCAAACGTTGTCACATTTTATATAGCATGTTTATGCCAAAAAATTGTAAATTTATCCAATTTTATTAAAATTTTTAATCATAAATTACAAATTTAGCAATTTTCATTTCATTAATAGGGGAGACCGGGATCTTATGAGCTTGCATACCTTGAGGTGTTCCTCTAGAATATTCAACTCTAATGGTTACTTTTTTTAACCAGACAGCCTATAATTTTTTTTAAATATCGGATCACATATATAATTTTTATAACACAATATTTGATTTATACCCTCAAAAGTAATTTTTTGAATGCTGCAATTTATCAAAAATAAAAAATAATAAAGGTTTTAATTAGCCAATAACTATCATATATATTATTATTTATTTGAACAAAAAATATGTTTGATCCATAAGATTACATTTAAAAGATATTGAAGGTCTGGGGCTACTTTTCATAGGTTTAGTGAGAAATCATATTAGAAAGAAGAAACAACTAATATATAATTAAGTCATTAATAAACGAGATAAATGAAACAAGATTTAAAATTGTCTACATCAATACAAATATTCAAGTAAGTAAAAGAAAATATATTAGTAAATGATCTTTTGGGTTAATGGATTCTCTTACAATTTTAATCCATTTTTTTCACTAATTTTATGATTATTTTTCATTATGGATTATTTTTATTAATAAAGAGTTGCAATAATATATATATCATAATTATTTTAAAAAATAATCAATATTAGCAGTTCAAAAGCGCCTCTTAGGAAAGCTCATCCTTTCCTAAATATTTTTTTGTGGAAAAATTAATATTGTTGAAAAAGTATATTTTTTAAAAAAATAATTTTTTGAATTACCATAATAGTGAATATGTGGAATAAAATGAGATATTATTTATTTAATATTATCAAGTTGGTTATAATTTTATTGTTTGCCTTTTAGGGTTCGCATGCTCCCCGGTCTCCCCTAGCCCTTCTTTTTCAAATCAAAATTTTAAAAATTTTTGTTACATGATCTATTTTATTTAACAATTACATTTTTGGAACTTAATTTCATGACTCCAGGTAGGTCATGTTTAAATTCGTTTGATCATTAATTTGGTCTTAAATACATTGAATGGTAAGGCCAATTTTATTTTTCATGATGACATTAATGGCACCTTAGGTCTAAAAAATTACATAGTTTTATAATTTAGGCCAATGATGCATATATACTTCAGATTAGCGATTTATTAATTACAAGTGTTCATACACAAGAGTCTGCTGCTGAGTAATTTTGCTATTTGTTTTTCAAATAATTATTTTTAATTTCATTATGTAAATGCATATTAATGTCATTAAATCAACGTGCAAAACATAAAAGGGCGATAACAGCTGACTCCGATGCATGGTCACTTTTAAATGCATTTGATGAAGACTTAGTAATATGTATTCATTATTGTTTAAGGCTTAGAGAATTGAAAAATTAATTCATTATTTTATTAGAATAAATCATTATTTCTGAAAATTAATATCTGGATATTTTTTTTTAAATTCTTGACTTTGTTTCATATGAGAACATGTAAGGAAATTTTGCTTATCATATCTTCCATTATTTCCAATAAGTTTATTATCATGCTTCGACTAATTCATCTTATAATATATTTTTAAAATTGGAGGATAATATAATATAAAAGGTTTCTCTTCAAGGGCTTATGATAACCATTTCTTATGTTCACTCTTTACAGTATTTATTCAACAATATACATATCTTTAATAAGTTTTTTGAAGCTTAACCTGTTGAACATATTTATAGCATTTCATAGTTAATTATTCTATGCACTCTGAAGAAGGACTGATATTTGGATATAATACTATAGGCAAATTTTTTTTACATTCGAATGTATTAATATATTATTGAATTACACATGTTTCTAATGTATATTTTAAAATGAAATCGATTTGCTTGAGACTATGAGAAAAGCTGAAAGCATTATATAGGTACTCAAGGAAATTAGGGTAAATGTAATGCTGCATTACTAGCTGAATGCAAACTATGGTATAAAAGGTCAACTAAGGTGATAATTTATTAAAAAATGCTATTAGATATGCTTGGCATAATTTCAAACACATTTAGACTATTTTACTAATAATATTAAAATTATTATATATTTTGCCAATGTTATCTATTAGTACTTCTACCAATGAAAGAACATTTTCTTCTTTAAGAAGTATAGAAACATAACTGAGAAGCACCACTTCTGAAAATCGATTGAATGGGTCATTTTAATTTGCATAGGTAGTTGACACCAAGCGCTGATGAAATCATTAAAAAATTAACTAAATTCTAATTAACTAAATTCTAGAGATGAATTTTACAATATATATTCATAATATGCTCCTTAATTATATTTTTCCCCGTTTTTTTTAAAATTCATCATATTCTTTTCATGAATTCAAACTTTGTAAGCTTATATACATGCAATAATTCTTAATAATATTTTTGTGCAATATTCTATATGGTTAAAATGGTTTAAATTTTCAATCTAATTAAAGTAGTAAGAAAGAATTATAAAATATTAACGTCTAGATCATATAAAAAGAAATATTTGATCAAAAGGAAAAGTAATAAAGAGTTTGAATGTTATAAAGAAAAATTTTCGCAAAGATGAAGAATAATTGAAATGTACGATGAGCCTAAAATAACTCACTCAAAATATGCTAATTTTGATAATTTCTATAAATTTCTATAAATTCCCTTAATTGCATTGATTAGTTATTATAATGAAAAGTAATAATCAGAGGCCAAAATTACTAATATTTCGTCCAATAAAACAATAAAATTGTGTTCAATTTTATTTTAACAACTTTAACTTGGTTCTTATCCAGTTTGCCCTGGGTTTGAGGAAAATAGCAAAAATGACACACTTTAAATTTTAATCATAGTTCCTAAAGATTCATAGGTTGATAGCTACACTTTATTTTTTTTATAGGTGAGGGATACACATAGATTTATAATCTGTTCTGTTTTGCTTTTGTTTTAAATTTTTAATGCAAAAATGCAAAATATTTATCGTTTTACCCCGGTTTCCCCTCTCCGTCAATTTATGAATCATATGCAAATACTCGTAATTAAATTATAATTTCTTTTAAAATTAAAGCCACTATAAGTTAAACATCTTTTTTTCTGGCATTTGCAGTTTTAATTTTTTTATTGTGATGGTTTTTGTTTAAAATGTCCAAAAACCAAATATAAATATTATTTATATAGGTTCAAATGTGAATATCAAAAATTTTATGTTTCTGGAGAAACATAGGAAAACCAAAGCTGAAATTTTGCATTTTTTTTACAAAATTATTTAACGTATGTAATTTTTATTTATTATAATGTTTAAATTTTTTCTTACATGTTGTATATCAAATAATACAAATACTAATATACAAGTATTTGACTCGTTTAATACTAACTATTTCTAATCGCGGATATTTTTTTATTCTATTTTCTGGAGGCCCATGCTCAACATTACCTAGGGTAAAGCTCATCTTTTCTATTTTGTTTAAGGTATTTTAAATTAAATCAATAGATACTTTGAAAAAAATCCATCAGAATTGATACCCTAAATATTTTTATTTGAGGGGGGGGGGGGGTTTTAATATATTTATAAGCATTATAAAATGAATAAATTATAAATTTTGGCCTTTTCAAAACTCGCAACGAATTCAGATTTTTTTATGGATCTTTTATAAGAATGTTAATTTAATTTTATATTTTAGGAAATTTGGCTCTAATCGAATATTTCATTAGTTCTGATCATGAGTATTTATCTGATACGATCTTACACAATTCATACCAAAAATGTATCAATGTTCGTATTATGGTCAATGGAGGCAGTGTG